TTCATCTGTCTGCAGTGGAAGGTAGAGCAACATGGTCTTTACAAAAACACTTACAATAGCTCCCTCTGACACTTCCTGATCAGAACATACGACACACTACATTGTGTATTAACCTGCAAATTGGATAGAAGAGTGGCGCCTTTTCTAAAATATATAATGTCATCACGTGTAGATAAGCTATTCAGATCCTAAAGAGCAGACGAAGAGTAAGTGTTCTGTTTTTAGATGAGATCGGGCACTTTCAGGGTGGTATGGCTGTAGACAGTGTTCTGTTTTTAAAAGAGAGAAAACAAGCAGAGGATGGAGGGTGAGAGAACAGGGCCACTCCTAGAACACACGTAAGGGAACTCACATTCTCAGGCTCCAGAGGATCAGAGCCTTGGCCATGGTCCCTAAGCCCCGTGTTCTGTTCCTTCTTACTTCCTGCTCACCAGACTGACCCCTTAAATCCTCTTCTCTGGGAGAACGCTCAGTGTTCATTTCCCTGGCCTGGGTTCTGTTTGCCTCTTCTGATGTCTCTTCTTGGCTCACTGTTCCCCAGAGACCGCTTGGCCAAACTCCCACTCCACCTCATCTCTGGATTTTATGTAGGGTTGGCAGTCAACTTTCTAGAAGGAGAAGCAGTGTCATTCTTAACAATCGAACTGCGCTTAGTTTGAAAGACAGCAGGACAAAGATGGAAAATTCTGCACCAGCTCAGCCACTCTGCTCCTCACCTAGGAAATTCAGATTTCTCTTTTCCTAAATCTAACCAATGTTTGTTCATCAAACCCCAATTATATAGGGTATCAGGGAAAAAAATAGTTTCTAGAGGTACTCCACCAGTGAAGATCAATTAAGAAGTATGATCTAAAAACCCAGACCTGGGCTGGGGATTTAGCTCAGTGGTTTCACCGCCTGCCTGGCAAGCGCAAGGTCCTGAGTTTGATCCCCGGTACCAAAAAAATAAAAAACCCAGACCACTTTATCAGAAGCTGGGGAATTAGATACTAAATCCTGCAGACTATAAGGATACTCATTTTAAGCTAAAAACTTACAGGAACACTTTTTTTTTAAGCTGTGAGAATACCATCTCCTTTTTCCAGATTTCTTCTTTTTCTGAAATAATATTGTTTGCATTCAGGTTACTGTCGTACTCTCTACTACATCTAAATCTCACTAACCTCTGTGGCTTTTGGAAGTTGATATGTTCTCCTCTAATTGGTTGGGTTGACCTTCCCAGAACATTTCTAAGGTTAGTCCTTGAAGGCAGAAAAATGAATAAATAAATTAAATAAAACAGGATTCCATATAATTCCAAAAGTCAGGAAAAGCTGGAGGGCAGTGTTAGAGGTAGTGGGGAAAGATCAAGGATTGGCTTAGAAGCTGTCTTTGCTCTGATATTGGGATCTGGGTGAATTGTCGACTGCCTTGTCTGTTGGATCATGCATCACCTGCACATTTTTATAAAAGGTCACCTAAAAAGAAATTGATAACAAGAAATCTTAACATGCCTAAAAAGGATGGCAACAGACTGTGATATTTGCTTTTAGTTACTCCTGGTGGGCAGAAATAAGACTGTCATTCATCAACTTCTTAGATGGCTGCAGGAAACCCGTGCAGAAGTCTGTAAGGGCACGAACTGCTGCGGCAGACACAGTTACAGCCCCAGGAACATTAACTTGCTCCACATTCCCTCATCTGTGGAAAATTAAGCCTCCCAAAGCCTGGGGGAATATGCCTTTTTATATCCAGGGATCTCAGAGGCTTTCTCTGGGTACTACTTGATGGTGCTAACCTATTTCTTAAGTGTTTGTATTTATATTGACCTCGGTGAAGCTTCACTGCACACAGTCGTACAGGCACGTATCTGTCTGAAAACTTTCTTGGGTGTAGTGACAGGGCATAAAGAGTTCATTATGCTCCTAGAACATCCTAAATGAAAAGAGTTAACTAAGTCTTTCTTATAGGAGAAAAATCATTGGAAATGTTAGCATGCTTGGATATATTTAATTGCTAAGATTGATGCCTAGAAAACTCCTAATTTTGGTGTTTTAGAAGGAAGAACAACTTGTTTCTTTACTACAAATGCAGCTGCCAAGGTCTATACAGCAGAATTTCAAGCTGAACATTTAGTTAAATCCTACCCAGCAAGATATTTACAAAGAAGAAACTGGACAAAAGAAGAGAGGCATTTGCAGGGGAGGCTAAGCGAGAATGTAGAAAGCCCATCTTTGTACTGATGTTCAGAATGGTTCTCCCATATGTTGATGTGTTTAACACGTTCACACCAGGGCCATAATTCGTATGTCCCACTGCCAGGTGGCTCTGAACCACTGATGCCTCAAGCCAGCAAGAATGTGTTAAAGCTGCTCTGCCCAGAAGCGAAGAGAGAAATTAAATGGCCTCCCAAATTATTATTTTATTTCACTGCATATGAGCTCAGTCTCCTTGGTCAAAGGTACTAAGGTAACTTACCACTCTAGCCACACCATCAACAACCAATGTAGTACCTTTAAAACTAGAAAAGGAGGAATGAGGGGCTGATATCTTAAGAGTGTACTTCCTCATAGTTATCACATTTAATTCTCACCAATAGTCAGTGGTAACAGCCCCAAGGTCTCACATCTAGATAATGTCAGGGCAGAAGTTAGAACCCAGGGTGAGCCAAGGCCATCACACTCAGAAAATTGAACAATCCAGTTCAGCTTACTTTATTGAGCACTTATGTCCCAGCCCTGTGGGCACTAAGGATATAACTGATAATAAGATAGAGGATGTATCACAGCTAACACATTTTAGGGAACCCTCATACCAATATATATTTTTTAAATATATATGTGGCTGGGCAGGGTGGCACACACCTGTATTCCCAGCTACTCAGGAGGCTGAGGCAGGAGAATTCCAGGTCCACTGCCATCCTGGAAACTTAATAAGTAAGACCCTTTCTCAAAATAGAAAGGCCTTGCCTGGCTTGCAAGGGGAAGGATCTGAGTTCGATCCCTGGTACCAGAAAAAACCAAAAAAAAATAGAAAGGCCTGAGGATATAGCTCAGTGCTAGAGCACCCTGGGTTCGGTTACTGGTACTACCACAAATGTATGTGTGTGGGGGGGTTATCTGGAAGCTTCCTTATTTGGAGGCCAGGAGTCAGCACTGTTATCTCCGTAGCACTTCTCTGCATGTTTTCCGTAGTGTTCCAGACCGGCTCAGCTCCCTAGTTATGGTCACAGTGCTCTTCTGGCTCGTCATGCAGCTGTTTGGCTTCTTCCTCCATGCCTCCTGCACAGTGTTTTACACACAGTGGGCTTTTAAATAGAGCAGCCTCTTGTCATTTCCCAGTATGAAGTTTAGTTTCAATTATTCACAATTAATCGATATGTCACTAGGTGCCATATTCCTGGGCTGTGAATTTCAATTCATCCAGATACTACAAGGCTGACCTTGCCACAGAGCTATTGTGTGGTCGTAGCCAATGGCCCATCTTCTCTGTGATACTCTTGAAGCATCCTTCTATAAAAAGTAATTCTTGAGAGATGAATAAAATTTAGTTTCCTTTAAAAAAAAAAAGACTTCAAGTAAGAGGAAGAAACTTTATAGGTTTGATAGTCGTTGACAGTGTGAGATATGTGTAGGACTCTCCCTGGAAATCAGGAATAAATGTATAAATGTGGGGCAGGAAAAATGCTCAGAATTATCCTGAATTCCAGATTTCTAAATTTCAGGATTCTCAAAGAATTCCAAGGTATGCAAATTTTTTAAATAAACTACATACTTTCTGTAATGATTCTCTCATCCCAAATGGAACATATCTCCACACTCAAAAATGTGCATTTAGTCCAATGATGCTTACCCAGGGCTATTTCTTGAGTCAGTTGGGGCTTTGTTAAAGATGCAGTGGGAAGGCTCTGCTCCAGACCTCCTACTGGAGGCTCCAGGACGTAAGGTGGGATGTGCACATTTGTGTGCATTTTGAAAAAGTGTGCCAAATTATTCTGATAAGTATAGCCCCTGACTACAAAGGGGGTCTGTGGGGGAAAGCCACCTTTTGGATGCACAATCGAACCAGTCTTCCCTGGACAGCTTAGGAGTGTGGACCATCAGGCCGCCGTGCTGACTGACACACCAGTGACTTCAGGGGCTGCTCAAGGCTTTAACAAAGCAGTGCTGTTGCATAACTCCTCAGTAGTCCCAGGGTTCATTATGCATCTTGTAGATGACTGGACTCTGCTTCTTTTCTTTCTTCTGTTGTCTGTCCCTGAAGATTTTGTTATTATTTAACACCTCAAAAGAGGAAATAAATACATTCAAATCAATTATTTGCCTGAATTCTTTTTTAAAGAATGGAGATAAAAGGGATTAAATAATATAACCACTTTTGGTTGTTTGTTTACAGTGACCAAACTTACAGTTTGCATCTATGAAACTTCTTTCTTCCAGGGCCTCAAAATACTTTCTTTTTCAATCTTGCTGGCACCCTAGGGACTAGGCTGGGACTTTGCCTCCTTCTCCCAGCTCTCTCACCATCCACCGTAGTGAAAAACGGAGAAGCCAGGCACTGTCCTGATTTTCATATTTGTAAATTGCAGTATTTACTCAGGGAAGGTTGAAGGATCGTGACCTGGAAGAAAATCCTATGAATATTGAGGTTGAGAGAGGCTCAGTATCGCACAGAAAGTCGGTAGAGTCATTCCTAGAATACGAGGCTGCCTGGCTAGTTGGGAGGAAGGAGGAGGTTAATTTTTGATCATTTTGCATTTTGCTGGCTTACAGTTTTAAAACATGTCACAAAAGCCTCGCATCTGGTGAATTGCGGAATACAAAGAAGTATGAACTAAAGCCAAGAAGCCAAGTATACAGTCAGTTGAATTGCTGTTCTTAAATTGCACCCCCATCTCCAGCTGTGAAGCTGAGCCATCTGATTTGAAAAGTTCATTTATAAATGGAAATTAAAATTAGTCCCTTGCTAATGCTGTTTTCTTTTCTTTCTTTTTTTGTTTTGTTTTTGTCTCCTCTCTCTAGCATGAAAGACTTTCTAGGTAAGAACTTTCCCCATTTTATATGCATGCTTAATATTTGTGAGAGAATGTATGACTAATTAAATTTGGTTTTATTTAATAGTTTAGTAATGTTCCTCACATCCTTTTCTTTTCATTTCCCCAACCACCACAGCAATTCCAACTTCTATTATCTCCTGCCCGAAGAATGGGATAGCTTTAAGTCACTTTTCTGTCACCAAATTCTCTTCTTTTCAATTTACCTTGTATATTTACACTAGATCAATTTTCCTATAGCACCAGTACCAGACAACATGCTAAGCACCAGGGAAACAACATGAATAAGACACTGTCTTTGCCGGTAATCAGCTTATGAATCACTGAGGGGAAGATCATTTCAGTAGGATGTACAAAGTGCCTTTTAGAAGTATGGACAGGTGTTCTGAACACAAAGAGAAGGCAGTTGCCCTATTCTGATGGTTGGAGGAAGGGTTCCTTGCCCAGTTGAAGCCTGAATTGAGATTGAGGTTAGGTATTGTCCTTAATAATGAATCCAGCCAGGGGTGGTGGCATACGCCTGTAATCCCAGCACTTGGGGGATGCTGAGGAAGGAGGCTCGCCACAAATTCAAGGCCTTCCTGGGCTACATAGCAAGACTCTGTCTTAAAAAAACAAACAACAACAACAACAACAAAAATCCAACCTCATACCTTACACCTAAGTGGTACTTAGTAGCAGTTTGTCAAATGAATTAAGGACCTAATTTACAATTACTAAAAAACTAAGAAAAGGTACCATTTTGGGGGGAAGATCCTCTGCAATTTTTACCTAGTATTGAAGGATACAAAACTGATCTTCCTGAAGAAGAAATTAAATAAAAAATAATAGCAGCTGTGTAACTGAATGTTTGAATCTTGCTTTTCCCGCTATTCCTCTGATGGAGAAATGAAGACAAGGATTGGAGGAAGAGGTAGTTAAGGGATAACACAGGACAAAGGAGTCTCCCCATAATTTGTTTGGCAATTGAACTGGTTCTACCTTATTAATATATGCTAAATTTTATATGTATTGTTCTGCTTGCCCTCTCACCAGGCACCAGCTGAGGATAACTTACTTCTAGCAGAAAATTGTAGTCTTGTAAAATTTGGTGGTACAAGATTACAAATTTTAATTACATAAAATTTTAAATCTCTGCCAATAAGATACTGTGAACAGAGACAAAAACTGAAATAGAAAAAGCAATATGTAGGCTATATTAGACAGTTATAAAAGTTCTACTATGTAGGAGGCTTCCCCAGCATAACCAAAACAAAAGATGATTACCCCACTAAACAAGGGCTATTATGAATTTGCAGAAACAATATGAGTAACCAAAGATATTAAACCTCCTTAATGATTTAAAGATATTAAAATGAACAAAATTGGAAAGGATTAGGCCCCTGCAAGGCAGTATGGCAGTATATACATGTGCCAGCATTCAAAATATATTTAGCTTTTGACCAAATAGTTACACTTCTGAGATTTATCCCAAGAAAGTAATTAGTTGCACCAGTGAGCAGACAAGACTGCTCATTATAGTAGCTAAAAATTTGAAACAACATGTGTCTATCATTTGAGGATTAAATTATCATCCAACCATGGAATGGGCTGTACAGTTACTTTTTTTAATGAGATAAACTTATTTTTACTTAGATGATAAGATATGCATAAGTGGTAAGTATAGGGAGGAAAAGGAGTTGGACAACATATGTATCTGATTTTATGTACAGAAACATTTTAACATATTTTTGTACTTGATACCCTGCAAGGATATGATCTAAACTGTTATTATTTATTTCTTGGGCAGGATTATGGAGTAGACGCTTAGGTATCACTTAATGTAATACCTTTCTAACCAGAAAAGTCAATACAAAGATTCCTATTAATCAGAAAGAATGCTAGGAAAAATATGGGACTTAGCATCTCTGTAAGAGAAAAGTAGCCATTGGTGTCCTTAGGAGCTCATTGCATCACCTCCTCTTCTCCTCCCTCATCCCTTGTTGCTCCTCTGCCTCTTCTAATACTTTATCTCAGCTCCCACCCACCCTGGCTTTGACACCAGCTACCACACAAACAGCAGCTGTGAGCTCCGCAGCTGGGCTACTGCACACCATCCAGTTTGGTTGGTTTGTACACAGCACTTTCTCATGGGCCTCATTCTAGTTTCTGAAGAGCAATGTCCAGGAAAATATAAACCAGGGTTAAGGATTGGGGTGATGGTCATACACTTTAAACAATCGGCTGAGAGAGTGGTTCTCTAATGAACTTACCACTACTAGAAATGAAACCACCACCAACTCTAAGAGCCCAGTTCTAGATGTAGACATCCCAATCACAGGCACAAGGTTGACAGGGAACTCAAAGAAGAGGGAGAAAATCAGCTGTTCAGGCACCGTGGGGGCACCCCTGGAGTGTTGGGATTCCAGCACACCTGTAGTGTACTGTCAAAGCACAGGTACCATGCCCCATTGCCATTCCTCCCCTGTCATCCTTCAGCTCAGTTTCCAAGCCCATCTGTTTCTGATTCATTGACAGTTCATCGTAATCATTTTCCAAGAGCCTCTGAGATCCAAGAAAAGTTTTGCTTTTAAAAGCACACTCTTTAGGGAAGCTGTTCAATCCCGAACTAATTTGAAAAGCTCTGAGGTTTAAGTCAGCATATGAATCTAAACCACCAGTTTTTCAAATAAGTTCCATTCTTGGCAAATGACGGTGCCCCTCCCCAAGCTCCAGGCTTGTGTGGAGCAGCCATGAGCTCTGGGAATGTTGGCCGAGAGACTCAGGGAAGGAATGTTGTGCTTGTTTCTGGCCAGGGCTGTCGAGTACTTCCTAGAAAAGCACATACTACCCTGAAGTTTTCTCTTGCCCCCACTAATTTGTTCTCAAAACCAATTTTTACCCTTGACATTCTATCTCACAGGTTGGAATCAGGAGGTAGTAACCCTGCCACCAGCGATTCTTACAGTGACCGGCCCTCAGCCAGGGCCCGTCGAGAGGCCCGGGAGGCTCGTCTAGCCAGCCTGACCAGCCGTGTGGAAGAGGACAGCAACAAGGATTATAAAAAAGTAGGATCTTTTTTCAGTTCCCCTGTTCTTGGGTTACAATATGTAAACCTCTAAGCCTCCTGCCCCAGTATGCAAAAATGAGCATAGTTCAGAGTAAGCAGGAAAAAGAGGCACCTGAGTAACAATGAATTCACTGGAGGCGTCTTGGTTGGCTTAGCCTTTCCACCAGCTGAATAAAGACCCCTTTGCATGTTGCTTTTATTGTAGTAAGTATATGCCTAAAATTGGATATTTAAAGGAATGGGGGAAAGTAAGAAATTAAGAATTGTAAGGAGAATAAAAATTAAATTGCTGTCTGAGCCCTTGAGAATCATTTGTTAGACTATTATTTTTTAATGAATGTGTGATTTAAACAAGGTCCTGTGAAGAGCAACTTAATGCTTCTTGTTTTTTTTTTTTAAATCATCATCATCATTATCACCTGGACTTGGAGAAATTTAAATCACTTTTCATCCACTTCCTTTGGTTCTTACACTTAGATCCTTGAAAACTTTCCCTTTCAGGTGCTTGGGATATGGGGGTGGAGGGCACCTTTGGTCAAGGAAATTTTTTCTTTGTTGATGTTTTTGTTAAGCAGGACTTGATGAAAAGCAATATGCACACACTAGGCTGGTTCTAAAAAAAATTCTGTTTTGTGTGAGGTGCAAATGCTCCATAGGAAAAAATGGATGACTTTTTTTTTCCTCCCAGAGATTATTGTTTTTGAAGTTGGAGGATCAGCACCTGGGATCATCACCTTCGAGAAACCAGAGAGCAATGGCTGAGTGTGCCCTGTCCTCAGACTTGTCTTCTCCACCTAGTGTAGGTTGTGGTTCGAGGCAGAGAGGCCCAGGCCTCCTCGTGATGAAACTGTGTGAGTGCTAATTCGGGGTGCCCTGCCTAGTGACCTGATTCTGCTTTCCTCTTCTCCAGCTGTATGAGAGTGCCCTGACTGAAAACCAAAAATTGAAATCAAAGCTTCAGGAGGCCCAGCTAGAGCTAGCAGATGTGAAGTCCAAGCTTGAGAAGATGGCCCAGGTAAGGAGAAGGAAAAAGAACGCAGCCAGAGGTGAGGCTGTGGAAGGAGGCAAACTGGACCAGGGATCTAAGGGATAGGATTCAAGATAAGAGTCAAAATCAGACTTCCTCAGAGGCAGTAAGAGGGAAGCTTCTTAGATTCGAATTTGATTTTCACATTAGGCAGTGGTAAAGTTGAGAACTGACAGTTCAGAAAACACTTCCTGATGGTCTGAACGCTAATAATATGGTCTGCATGTTTCTCAGTATTCAAGTGTGACAGGATCAGTCCTCAGTTTGTCCTTGTTCTTTGCACTTCGTTTCCGGTCACCTGCACATCACCTCGCAGAAGGGTGAGCAGAACACTGTAGCCAAGTACAGAGAGGTAGCAAAATTAGGCCCAGAACACATCTGGCAGAGGCGGCACTGGAACCTAGGATTAGGTCCTGAAGCAAAGATTCCATCCTGGAGCATGTGTTGTCTCCCCAGGCCATCACTTCCTTCGGCCTGGGCAGGGAGCTAGTAGCAGAAAGATGAGGCAAACCATTTTCTCTCACTGCCAGGCCTGATCTAATTAGGTGACTCTTTAGAGGATGCTGGGGTAGTGACCTCATCACCAGTGAACCAGAACCTGCAGCTGAAAGCCAAAGCAGCTGCTGTCTCGGGTTACTGTGGAGTTAACAGGAACCCTATTGAATTACTGCCTTGCTGGAATGCCTGGGGACTGAGAGTTACAAAAGTTGAACTGAGGTAAAAACAACTCCATGAGGAAGACATGAAATGAAAAGCAGAGATGGCTGGTTAATCTGATAATATGATATAATCCAAAAGCAAAGACTAAGATGTTGGCTTATGTAGTCTTAGCACATGGGGTTTGGTGGGGCACAGGCTGTTGAGTTCTCTCCAGAGCAGTTCCTATGGCATGGGATGAGCAAGGTGCCAAGGTGGGGAAGATGGTGCTGCAGAACTGTGTGGGAGCCCAGCAAGGTAGGCAGGACACCCACAGTTTCCAGAGGAGGACCCGGCTCTACTCAGAGTGGTTGGCCTGTTCTGACAGCTGCCTGTCAGTGTGCGTGAGGCCGCCTCTGCGGCCTGGAGATGCCTCCTAGCCCAGCATGGCTCTTACTGGCCCTTTCTGAGACCTACTGCAACACATGGATAATAACTGGGCTTAAAGTGATTTTGAGGAACAAGAAAGGTAGGTCTCTAAATCTAAAAGAAAAAATACAGACACTCACAGTTATAACCTTTCCATAAGGCAGGGAATGGACTAAATAGATAAGCCGTAGTATACTGAGCCAGCAGTATGGCTTATTTGCTACAGCAGATCCTCAGAAGGTATCTGGGGCTAATTATCATTCTGAATAGTGCCATGTATTGGCAAAGGTCAGTGAATACTGATCTTATACTGATTCTCATCTGTTCATTTGGGGCTGTTTTACAGAATTTAAGGAGCAGAAGAACCCAGTTTCGCCTGCTCCCCACTCTCCTCACCAGAAGCTCTGATAGCTTATTTCGTGACCTTCCAGGGTTCTTGGCCTTTCTGGCAGCCTGTACTTCATAGCAGCAAGCAGCCTAAGAGGCTGCTGACACTGACATGCACAGAGGGCATTAAAAACAAAATCAGCCTTTCCCAGGCACTGGGGAGCAGCATTCACCCTGCAGCCAAGTGCTTTGCTGGGTGTGTCGGAATACACTTGGATTTGCCAAATGCAAGTTATTGAAATTCAGAAAAAAACTGACTATACAAACCAAGTCTCTATTTACCAAAAATGGAGTTGTTTGGTAGAACAGTGGAGAGAGGGCCTCTCAGCGTCACACGCTTGTATTGAGACAGGTACCACATGGACACTCACAGGGTTTTTACATAAAAGATCCACCCAAATTGTACAGGGGTCAACATTTAAAACAAAATGGAGTGGGGATGTAGCTCAGTGGCATCGCGTCTGCCTGGCAAACACAAGGTCCTGAGTTTGATCCCCAGTTCTGGAAAAGAAAAAAAAAAATTTTTAAACAAAAGGCAAACAGTAAAACTAGTTCTTTGTGTACATGAATTTTGAAGATAGTGAAATTATCAGCATTTCTCTAGTTTTTCAGGCTTAGGAAAGAGAGATTTACAACAATATAAACCAACTACAGGATATACTGATGTATTTTTCGTTTCATTCTGCTTCACACTTGATGCAGTGTAAAGGCAGACAGCCATAACCTTCAGAACAGGAGGTGAAAGCCCAGGACAGGAGCCAGAGTTTCAAGTTTTATTATTAGTTCTGGCTATTCCTTAATTTTTTGAAAAACAAACTCTGCAAGAAGACCAGCATCATTTTTGTATTTATTAAATGTTTTCGGGTATAATACTAGGCAGACTTAAAGTCCTTTATTAGATGTCTATTGAATTGCCCAGTTGTATAATGTCAAGAACACAAGTTTCTTAGAGTTCCTTTCCCTTCCCCTGTTTAAAGCAGGATTGTTACCTGAGGTTAGTCTGCTTTTTAGGTTTGGTCAAATTTTTTTTTTTTAGCTCTTCTGAAAATTTTAAATGAAAAGTCAGAAGTGAGTCAGGTGGTGCATGCCTGATGGGGTGAGCAGATGATGGAATGAGCAGAAAGATTTCAAGTTCAAGACCAGCCTGGGCAATTTAGCAAGACCCTGTCTCAAAGTAAAAAATAAAAAGGGCTAGAAATATACCCCTGAGTTCAATTTCTTTTTAAGTCAAAAGTGATCTAAAATATACATTCTAAATCTCATATTCAAATAAAATCTTCCCTTAACTGAAAGCCCAGTGCATAAATAAAGCAGGTAAAAGTAAAACTGCTCATTCAGAGCAGGGCATGTGCCATGAAGGGGCTCCCAAGAAGGGGCACATGTGAAGAGCACTGCTCTAAAGGGAAATGGTCTTAATGCCCAAAGGGAAGGAATGGGAGGGAAGGATTGTTTAGAAGACTGCTCAGGCCTTCAGATTCAGGAATCTCGATCCATTTCTTGTCTTCTCTGATTTTTACTCTCTGATATTACTCATAAAAAAAAAAAGGAGGGAAGAGGGATGTTACAGTGTGGGGTATTGGCATTGAAGACCAAGAGAGACAGAAACAGAGATTGTATGTGTCAGGTGTCCATGTGCTGCAGGTAATGTCTTCATGTGTGTGAGTGTTTTAAATTGCAGTGACTACTACTGCTGCCTTTCCCTCCCTAGTGGGAACCCTGCAAACTTGAGAGAGATAATAATTTTAGGCTTGGGCCGGAGATTTAGCTCAGTGGTTTCGCCGCCTGCTGCAAAAGCGCAAGCACCTGAGTTCGATCCCCAGTACAAAAAAAATCATAATTTTAGGCTTAATGATCTATCAGAATCTTTTTGCTGGGACCCCTGCTAAAGTGAAAACTCAAAGCCCTGCTATCTATTTCGGGATGTCCAGTGGCGAAACTGAGCAGGAGTGAACTTTCTGTTAGACCTGAAATAGCTCCAGTAACAAGTGTTTTCCTTCCATTTGCACAGCAGAAACAGGAGAAGACCTCTGATCGCTCATCAGTGCTGGAGACGGAGAAACGGGTATGTGCATGCTTTTCTCCTGTTTGATCCCTTCTTTCAGACTTTCTCTAGCTTTGTTTTTCATGCCAATGGAAAAACTTTATCTTAAGGCAGCAGCTCTGCCACATTCCATTCCCAGCTTGATGATAAATTCTTTTTGTCTGACTCTTGACAATAATTTGACTGCTAGTCTTTTGGCTTTCTCAGATAGTCAGTACTTTGTACATAGTCCAGTCAGGGTGAGAAGGTCCTTGGGAGGTCATCTCAGACATTGTTCTGCCTTTAGGCAGAACTGCACACATGAACATAGCCATAATGTATTTTGGTTTACTATAAATCATATCTCTGTCTCACGCACACATATACACATGGGCCCGTGCATGTCCAAAGTCTCTTTGCCTTTCTGATCACCTTGAACAGAAAGAGGAAGCTTTCACCAGGACTTTCTGCCATTGATTTAAGTCTTGTGACTTGAGACATGAGTCATAAGGGTCTTCTGCCCCCTCTCTCACTGAGGAGAGGATTTCTGGTTCGATTGCTGACCTCCTCCCAACTGCACTTAGCATATTTTTCTGAGAGTTAACATTCTTGGATTCGGAAAGCTCAATTAGATTTATTGATGAACCCTAGCTTTGATTTGACCCTAGGGATGTAGTATGTTCCCATCTCTTCTGAAATTGTCTGTTTAATTTGGAAAGCAGCTAAGTTTTATATTTCATTCCCTTGGCCTGTAACCAAACCTCCTTGATAGCTCATCTGGTCCAAGACTACTTATTGGGTTCAAGCTAAATTAAGAGTTAGTTGCTGAGAGAGAGAAATGGATGGGAAAGGGAGATACCCAGAGAGGGGTGCTGTTTGAGGACAATGATGTCTACATCCCTACTCACCAACTGCTCCCCATCATGAGAGTTTAAGTTCCCTAGGAATTTGGGGAGAGTACTACTAAAAGTAATAATGGGTTTTTGTTAAAAAGAGCAAAGGTCCTGGTCACCTGGAGTCATTTGAAATTCCATGAAATCTTTAACTTGTAGAGAGCAACCCAGAGTGCCCTGGTCTGTTTGCCTGTTAGCAAGTTGCCTCCCCCATATCTTCTCATTTCCTCATGAGAGACTCAGGTCCTGTGATTTTCATCAGTGAAGTAAGTAGCTCCACTCCACTCCACTCCACTCCACTCCACAGGGGCAGGACTGGAGACTGCCCACAACCAAGTGAGGTTTGCTGGAGTCAGTACAGAGACCCTTTGACCATGAAGTTGCCGATCACATGGCAGCTAGGAGGCAGCACTGTGACTGCCTTAAATCTATTACATGTTCAATAGGCTCATTGTTTCTAAACAGGAGAGGCGAGCCTTGGAACGGAAAATGTCAGAAATGGAGGAAGAGATGAAGGTATGAAGAGCTTTTTTTCTCTCTTTGTATGCCTATTCTCTGAGTGCCTGCCGAGACTGGATCCTTGAGTATAGGCCTGTCCCCTCTGAATTTCACAACAAGCTCAAGAAGAGATTCCTTATGAAAAGATGAGCATCTTTCCTCAGCCACTTCCTGGGGTCTGTCAGCCTACACGACATCCACCATGGCCACCTTGCTGGCCTCCGGGAACAGATGCCACCTTTGGTCAAGGGAGATCTGGGCACACTGGAGACAAACCCATGTTGAACTTTTGAGGCTTTCTAAGTAACAGCTTCACCCTGGAGAGGCTTGATGAAAAGGCCAGGATATCTTTTCCAGCTCTGCAGAGCCTCTGTTAGGTGCTTGCTCTGGAAAGCCTGAGCATGGCAGAGGCTTTCTTCCCGTTTCCCCTCCCTAACCCAGCCTTTTGCAGGAAGAAAGAGGTTGAGTCATTCTGCAGCAGAGTGAAAATTTACTCACATATTGATTTCCTGCCCCCGTCCATTTCTCCAGCAGATTTCCAGTGTGCATGACATTCCCACTAGAACAAGTACAGGCTACCAGATTCACTGCTTTCTTGTCCCCCTCACCATGACCTGCAGTGATCATCACCTTCATTAGCCTCTTTAACAGACAACTGCCACTTGCCATTCTTTGCAGTTTTGAATGCTGAGACCTGGCAGTCTTCCCAAAGGAAGGCTACATAGAGAGCATCAGGGAATGTAGAGCCACTCGTATATGATTTAGGAGCATCTGAGCTCTGCAGTGGGTGATGCCACATGGCATCATGCCACAATCATGTAGCACTTGCTCAGCTTTTCTTTCTTCAGGGATCGTATTTTACTGGATTTACCTGGTGAGATACAAATTCTTCAGCTAGAAAGCAGAGGCCCTTGGACAGTATCAGGCTGATCCCAAGTCTTCTGGGAGCAAACCTTTCTAATATGTAATTGGGACACTTTGTAGGAGATGTATTTATTGTTCCAATGGCCTAAGAAATTTGGTTATTTACTGAAAGAAGCATTTTAGGACCTGACAAGGTCATAGTTTTCACAAGATCCTGTGCTCATAACCCTGTTACTCTTTATAATTCCAAAGTGAAGGAGAAATCTCAAGCACTGTCTGGCATTTCCTACTTTCCACCCCAAAGTTATAACTGATAATATTCAGTAGAATTCTCAGAAATATATGCTTATCTCTCAAACATTTCAAATATTCTGTGTTGATTCAGAACATTGAGAAGATTCTCCTAAGATTATAGGACAGTACCCTAGCGCCATTAAACTTGTCCATCTTCTGATTCTTCCAGATCCACCTCACCATACAGAAGTAGTCTCTCTTCCTAAGGCAGAATGTTAGTATTTCCAAGCAGTTCTCAATGACGCACATCCACAGCCCCCGGTTGCATGGGGTCTCTTCCATCTTTGAATCCCCCTGAGTTATACTGTCTGTACTCTGCTGTTAGGTAGCTGTCAGTAATGCTCATTAGGAAATGACCTGAATGCTGATCTAGAGCATGTGAATGAGGCCACAGCTGGTGCTCCAGTGAGTACCCAGGAGCCCAAAGCCAGCCTGTGCCCACCAGTCATGGAACTCTGTGCACACCATACAGACCACTGCAACACACACACACATGCACACACACCTAGAAAGTGACAGAGCTTGAGTAGAGAGCTTGAAGTATTTTACTTCTGTTCTCATTCTAAATGGCAAGTGTGGAAGCCCTTCCCTGTCCTAGTCACTGTCAACTCTGGATTGAGACAGGCTTACCTGTTTCGCGTCGTACCCTGTCAGGTATGATTTCTTAAACTAGGCCATGAGTTCTTTGCTGTTCTCAATAAGGATTATAATATAGGGAAGTGTTTGCTGTCTCCAGTGAGAAGCCATTTTAAAGCAATTTTAAAATCAATTGGTTAAATTATGAATTAGAGCCAGATTATGACTGTTTAGCCCTAAACCAGTAGGTAAGCTGTTTTGCAATTTTCTTTTAAAGTTAAAAATTCCACCCATTCAGTCAGTTGCTATTATTCTCCATTACTAAATGGAGAAGAAATGCCTACAGGCTGTAAAGCCTTTAAACACAGTTTGCTCAAATTGGAGCCAATTGGCGGGTTTGCAAACCATCCAGCTCCTCCTGCAGGGCTGAGGGAGGAGCACCAGAGCCTCCCGGTTATACCATTGTGATGTTTGTGTTTGTGACTTCTTAGAACAGGGAAACGTCAGATGTAGATAAACTATTCTCAAATTGGTGTGACTGGTCCTAAAAGAATCAAAGAAAATGTTTAGGTCTCAAGCTCTTCATCTGGATTATCATTTATGCTGAGCACCTTTACTAGAGGGGTTAGTGCCCAGAATCTCTGCACTAGGCGCCAGCCAATAATGCAGGTCATGCCTTATGAATCTAACCCAGTGCAGCTTGGGACCGCTGGTCTCTGTGCTTTGCATATTCAGTCTGTACAGGTGCACACATCTCCCTGGAGCAATCGACAGGGACTCATCAGTTTGAGGGGTCGATTTCCTGTGAACCGTTAAAAGATCCTCTAGGTGTTCAAGGACAAAAAGTAGTTGCAAGCCTGTTTTCTTGACCCTGGCAAATAAAATACAAAGGCCAGGTGAAATGGGGAATCCTGAGACAGGCTCACTGGACGTATGTGGGGCTCTGTGGCTATGAGATGGGTTGAGCCTTTCTGGCCTTTACCTGGAAAGGTGAGTATTTCTAAATTTCCTGCCCTGGAGAAATTCCACCCAGTCCTGGGTTGGTGCAGGGGTATATGCCAGCTTCTGACAGGTGTGCATGTCAGTGTGAGCTGTGCTCGGCCTGCACTCGGCCTTGGGATGTGCCCTCATCTGACCTGATTATTTTTCTACTGCATCCCCCATTCAGTACCAGCCCCCTTACCAGACCTTCTCCCCTTCCTTTCCAAGGGCCTTGCATGAGAGAGGCCCAGCAGCCAACCCCTTTTAGGTGGTCCTGAGGGTTTACTTTGCTTACTCTGGAAATACCACTCCATTCTTGCACCTAAGTTCTGCCTTCCCAACCCTGCTCTGTGACCTGCTGTCCTCCCCATCTTCTTGCCCTGCCTTGTTTTCAAGACTGCTTCCTATATATTAATAGTCCACCAGATTGTTTCCTGACTCTCTCCTTCATGGTGATAATTTCCAAATTCTTCCACCTAAGTCTACTTGTACTCACATGTTAGATTGGGTCACTTTCATGGTTCTTATCTTTAATATTCCCTGTATTTAATACTCACTTCATGTAACAGTAATGATTGTGTTGAAAGCTTTAGTTCAATGTCAGCACCAATGAAGGTGAAAGCCAGGGACTTTCAGTTGGTTCTTAGATTCAGTACCTCCCCTCTTTAAACTTTTCCATGTGCTGCACCATGATCTCCTATTCCTTTCATGGCCAAAATGCTTAGAGTAGGCAGAGAGGATTGCCCAGTCTCTACCTTCCAATGGCTACATGGAGCTGTTTGGCTGCCCTACCTTTTTTCCAAGGTGGTCATTCTCCCTCTTTGGGGAAAAAGCTATTCAGCAGTTTGTCTCTGCTTGTTTTTCCTTTTCACTGTTTTTTCTCTTATGCTACCATTCATTTTCCCACTGCTCCACTCCCAAACTGTTACTCCGCTAATCTTTCATTCCATCCTTCTTATTGTATAAGAGACTTTTCTGTGACAATTGGTGACCTTTTTGTCACCATTCTGACCCACAGGATTGTCCATCCTCATTGACAAAACCCTGTCTGCATAACGAATCATTCCCTCCTCCCAAAGAGTAGATGGTCTCAGTCTCAGAGTCAGTGTAGATGCTCACTTAGGAAAGATATGTAGCATAGTAGGCAGAATCTCATTTATTGAAGATTTTAAGTCCCTTATGAAATATGTAGTATTAGGAAAACTGTGGGCCAGATTGGCACATTAGCACATAGTCCCGCGAACTGCATTATCGCTAGACATTCATAAATTCTCCACTTTTGTTCAGAATATGAGCCCTTTGTAAACACCACAGCTTGAACGAGGACATAGAGAGCAGTTAACTGTGAACCTAGTGGTGCATATAATCACATATAGCAGATCAGAAGCAGGTTAGCAGTTCCAGAATCCTGGACAAGCCCCCTAGATTGCAGAGAAGAACTGGCAGGGTTAATGAAGCTTTGTAACTAAGCAGCTTAGAAAGCTGTCCAGTCTCTGTCCAGTTACTATTTTGGTATGTATCATTTCACCCTTTTGAAGAATACATGCCATATACCAGAAATGCATAAATAAGACTCTCTCTTACTTTTTCTTGTTTTATTTTTTTAAAAAAAAAATAATCCAGATGCCCCAGGACTTAGCTCAGTGGCACTGTGCCTGCCTCGCAAGCACAAGGTTGTGAGTTTGATCCTCGGTACAAAAAAAAAAGAAGAAGAAGAATCCAGAAAGAAAACAAATGGGAGTAGGGGATTGAGTAGGGGGTGGGGGTGGAGTGATGGGCAGCATCTGGACTTAGGAACACTCCGAATCCTCAACTCTAGTCCAGATGACAGTGAAGGAGGGTCCCTGAGGCTATGGCTCAGCCATGTGAATCTGGTTGAGAGGGACCTAAACCACATGGTGGGCTATCATTCTCAGAAATGATCCAGATGTGCTTTTGACCTTCAGCACACTTAGACCTCAGCCAAGAATCACAGACACAGCTCTCTGTTTCCTAGTGCTTTTCTCCGTTGCATGCCATGCCCTCCCCATACAGAATTTCTCATTACTCTTGCCTTTCTCATTTCCTTTCTTGCATGCAAACTAAAAACAAAAACAAAAAGTCACGTGGTTTCTTTGTCCTACTTTTTTCTCCTCTGGTCTGTCTTGTCTGTCTGTCTTGTCTGTCTGTCTTGTCTGTTTGTCCCCTCCATGTCTCACTCTCTGCAGAACCTCCACCAGCTAAAACAGATTCAAACCTTGAAGCAGATGAACGAGCAACTGCAGGCTGAGAACAGAGCCCTGACCCGAGTGGTGGCCAGACTCTCGCAGTCCATCGAGTCCTCGGACACCCAGGAGCTCTAGTTCTTGCCTTTCCTCTTCACCTCACTTTCCTCCTCCACTACTCCAGGCAGGTTTACTCTTCTTGTTGGTCCCAGAAACCCTGTGCGCATTCCCTTCACCCAAGCCTCCATGTGTAGGTTCCTATAAAACTTGGTCATCTGGAGATGGAAGGAGACAGGACTGAGACCACAGAATGGGACATAATGGCCTAGGTCAAGGGAGGCAGTGGGGAGACTTGCGTGGGCCAGCAGTGTATTTGGTAAGATCACCACCTTACCTTCTCTTTGCTAGAGACTGAATAGGGATTTCCTCACTTACTACACATAGATACACATGGGTGCATACCTGTGTACGCACATGCACACATATTTCTTCAAGGAGGTCTTTGCCAAACTGAGATTGTTCTCAGTCAACAGTAACCAAGTGCAACCCTGGCAGCAGTTGGGATGGTTCTGGATTCCAAACTATGGTTGAGCCAAGGATAACCAAGAGCAAAGGCTTTCAACCCTGGCTGCACCCCAGAACCATGTGGGGGCTGTTAGTACATATGAGTGCCTGAGCCCACCCTGAGAATCAATGGTTTGGGTTAAGGCCCAGCCATCAGTATTATTTTAAAGCTCTCCTGTTGATTCTTTTGTGCAACCAGGATTGAGAACCACAGCCATTTGGATACCAGACAGAACTAAATTCCTGCATGTGACAACATTGCTAGATGAAGAGGACTAGAACTGAAGGCTCGAGCTGCCCTGACCTCTCTCTGCTATGAGCAGAAACATCCTCTGTCCCACTGCTGGAGCAGAACTGCTTAAACATTCTTTGCCTCCTTCTGCAAGTCTTTCCTTTCTTCTTCCTCCTTGGAAGACATTTCTGTCATCTCTGTCACAAATCTCTGAGCCTAGGGATATTTCCTTCCCCATCCTGAGTATGTGCACTATGAGGTAGAATATAGCCTATATATAAATGAGACCCTCAAATAATGAGGTCTTCCCTAAAGGGGCCAGCTTTACAAAGGAGGTGACAGGCAGTGAAGCAGAGAGCAGAGATTTATTTTCAACTGAGAACCAAAAATATGTGTTTGGCAAACCTTCCCCTAGCTGTGGATCTGAAAGACAAGCTCACAGACAGCTTATTTTCCCATCCCAAGATAGTGTGACGGGGTCACCACTCCCCTGAAATGAGTTTTTAATTTTCAACAACAATCTAATTAGTCCTGACCAGGGCTTGTTCTTTTTCCTGCCTATTTGCTTTTGCCTTCAGGGTCAGTAGCTGGCAACTAATATCCACTAGAACCAAAGCACCCAAATTACCGTAAGGGCTGAGCTAATATCCTACTGCAGATGCTATCACAGGCAGAAAGAAAATTGAAAGAGAGGTGCTACCATGGCCTGGCAGTGAGCAGCCACTGTTAAGTCCAAAGCTCCTTCTTTAAAATGAGCCTCAAGATTCCTGGAAAAGCCTGGAAGCGGGGGAACTCAGTGGTAAAGGGCATGCTTAGCATGCACAAGGCCCTGGGATCCATCCCCAGCACCAAAAAAATAAATAAATAAATTTTGACTTAGGCCAAAGTAGAGATCCCAAAAGCTGTGCCAGTTATTTTTAGTCTCCCTCTAGGATATGGGGCAAAAACCAGATCTCATCTTCCCAGTGGTTAGTAACCATGATAATATGTAGTTGTCATTTATTAGCGTCTGTGCTGAGTGCTTTAGATGTTTTTTCTCATTGATTCCCTAGAACTATTGTACATATGTTAAAAATATAGTCACAAATTGAGTAACTTGCCCTGGGTCACTGGATTAAGTGGTAGAGTCAAAATTCAACCAACTATGTTGGGTTCCATAGTCCATGTCCTTCCCCAGTATGATTATAAGCGGCCTGCATATTTGGCACAGAGTTTTAGCTCTTTGTTAGGCACATGGCCTAAACCATGCAAAAAGGATCTATTGAGCAACTACAGTGCAGCCCAGAATTGCAGCTGAGGGATGGAGGACAGCACTCTGCCTTCTCAGCACACTTGACTTCCCTGTGAAAAGTTAACTTCCAAAAAACATTTTCCTACCAACAGAGACTGCCACGGTGAAGAATGCCTTTGCCTAGAACATGACCTTCTATAGTAGGGATGGCAGACTTTGGCTTATTTCTATGGCCCATAAGCCATACTAGTAGTCAAAAAGGAAATCAAAAGACTATTTCGTGACACCCGAAAATTATATGGAATTCAAATTGCAGTGTCCAAAAATAAAGTTCTTTATGTATTATCATTGTGCCTGTGGCTGCTTTTTGCTACAGCAGAAGAGCTGAGCACTTACAGCAGAGACTCTGGCCTGCAGGCCCTGCGATAACTATCTGCCCCTTTACAGAAAAGCTTGCTGACCCCTCCCCGAAGGAAAGATAACTAAGCCAAACTGGCAAAGTGACTGAGAGATTTTTGCCCTTTTTTAATAGTCCCCTGGAGAAATCATCTTATTTCAGCATGTAGTTCACACCACTTATCAACAAAGTAGAGGGGAGGACTCACTTTTCATGGAGCTGGAAGCAAAGCAGCTCAGGCAAGACTCAGTGTGAGACCCTTCACTGGTAGCGAGCCTTGCTCTGGTGCCCTCTGACGCTTCCTTCCTCTTGAACACATTCCTGTCATAGACTGTAGGAAGTAATATTTAAGAAAAAGTGTACTCAATTGTACTTGTCCAAGCTGTCTTAACATCAAACTGTGGTAAGCTGGAGATTTAGCAATTAAGAAGCTGAGGTTCAGGGAGTTAAAATGATAAGGCTTTGTTAAACCTTGTATTTGTATGATACTTTCATATATGTTTTTAATCGTTCTTTAACTTCAAGTGAATATCAGGTAACACAGTTCATTTCTCCCTTTCTTTTGAGAATGAAGTTTATGAGGCTTTTTCCTCCTTGATTTCTACAATTCCACTTCTTGACACTCCCTTAAGATGTCAGTCATAACATGTTGCAGCTGTGAAATTGCCTTGTCCAATTTTTTTTCCTAAGGAATAGAGTTCTCAAAGTGGAAATCACGAAAGTTCAACCAGTTGTTTGTGCGATTAAAACCGAAACAGAACAATGCAGCAGAGTTCTGAACTACTAAGCAGTGAAATGAAATCCATTGCCATATGTATAGCTTCTTCCCTCCTTTGGAGGCTCATTATAGTAATAAGGCCTTCAAGTCTCACCCAGGCTGCAGGCTCAGTACCGGGTATTAGTGAGGAGATGGAAAGGTGAAATATCATGAGACCACCCTGGGGTGACATTTTCTCAAGTCCTATTGAAATGAGTTTCTGAGTTCTCGATTCTAGTAGGTTGCAGGGGCAGGAGCATGCATGAAAGAGAGGGCCAGCAGAGGTGCTTCAGTTGATTTGGAAGAGGCAGGGTCAAAGAACTGAAACTTTACTTTGATAATGCCGGGATTAGAGTCTTCTTGGCAAAGTGTGCAGGTAATTTGCCTGCCTTCCTGTATTCATGGGAAAACTCATAGTGGCGGTAGGAATATGCAGTATGGCAAAACACAGTAATGAGCGTCAAAACACTTCCACATCTGTGTCCTCCCGTGGACCCCACAGAGTCCCTACTTTTATGAGGGAGTAAGAAGGGTGCTGTTATTATTTTATAGAAAAAAAAATTGGAAATGCAAAGTCGAGGGGTTTGCCTAAAGTAATACAGATTACTAATGATGTGACAGTATCAAGGCTGGAATTTCAGTTTCTAGGCATGAGTTTCAACTCCCACTCCCACCTGCACTGAAAGAGTGACCTTTGGAGTGGGCACACCTGGGTCAGTAGCAGCTGTACCACTTAAATAGCTGGCTGCCTTGGACTAATTCCCTCGTGTAGAATAAAGGACAGCAACTGATGACAGAGCCATGGAGCACTGGTGAAGCTCTGTAGCACAGTGCCTCCCATGTTCCAGATACTCAATAATGTTTTCCTTTCGCTCTCTCGACACAGATTCTTTATATATCCATGATATCCATGGTGTGTGCATACTCACATATACTGTACTTGTATAGTGTAACTTGCATCTTCACTGTAAGATTGAAGAAACAAGGATTATAGTTCTGAAGGCACAGTTAGATCCCCAAGTGGTTAATAGCAGAGCCAAGAGCTAGAACTAAACAGGCAGGCCTCCTAAGACCTGAGCCCAGGCTAGCCTTCTCTCTCTGTGGGCTTTACCTTCCACAGTGGTTCTGGAGGATTAAATGACTGAACGATCAGAGGACATCTACATTGAGCAGATGAGGATGTAGATTTCTGTAGCCTTCATGGTGAAGATGTACTTACCCTGTAATGTAAATCTTGCTACCAGTGAGACCCACACATAAAAGTACCCTTATCAATAGCCCACTAGGATTTTTCAAATGCATAACATGGTACTGGCTCAGAATTCCATGATCAGATGACAAAGACTTGGGTATCCAGGCTGGAGCTGACTTTCTCCTTTGTTGCTCGAGCTGAACAACACTATGTGTAATAGTCCAAGATGGGAGAACTGAGAGAATTGAATCTTCACTTCTTCCCTCCCTCTGTAAGCATCTGTTTTCTGGAATTGTAATACCACCCCCCAAAACTGCTAGGAAGGCCTTTTGGTGTCTTTTGGTAATTACCAATGGAGAATTAAAGGGAGAATTAAATATATGTGTATTGTTCACTGTGTCTTATCGCTCTGTGACCATATCTGTAATGGTGGTGGGGTTTAAGAGTTGAAGGTGGGTATGTATAGTATGAGCAGTGAGAATCTTGGTAGATTCTGTTCACCGAACACACCAGGAGTAAATCATCCTGTGCACATGGCAGAAAAGCTTAGTTCTGCCCCGTAGCCTGCATTCTTGCTTTTCACGGGTTATAAAGTAGTGGCCTCCTTTAACTCTTTTAGGTCTCCCCCTTCCCCTGGCTCCTTTCTGAATTCCTTCCCTATGTCCTAACCAACCTACTTTGGCACTTGCCCCAGTTTCTCTAGATTAGAGGTAAATTCAAGGGCAGGAACAATTAAAAATAGCTACTGACTCAGTAGAATAAAAGGATCTACAGTGTTGAAACATAAAGCCTGCATACAAAGAAATATTACTACTAAATATGCTACTCAAAAGATAAGGGGCTGTGGTCTTCCTAAACATTAACATTACCAACACAATAAATAGACTCAAGGGAATTTCATCCCTAGGACAAAGGGTGGTGACCACTCATTATACACACTGTCTAAGAGGTTCTGCTCCCCTGCCAGCCCAGCCTGGTCAGGGAGGGTGGAGGAGGCAGCCGTCCCTGACTCTAATATACTTTTCCCTCTGTCACTGCAGGTGTTAACAGAACTGAAATCTGACAACCAGAGGCTGAAAGATGAAAATGGTGCCCTCATCAGAGTCATCAGCAAACTGTCCAAATAGTATAGGTTCCACATGAGGAGCAGGGGACAGCATTCTCTGCCCCACTCTTTTCTAGCCATTGCCTTCCAGCCAAAAGAAGTGAATGTTTTGGTGGAAGGACACTTCCTCCTGACCCTCTTCAGTCACCTCCTCTGCACTGTACATTTTCTCTGCACTCTGAATGCCTGGTTCCTCCCACACCCCCATCCTGAGTCTTATGAGTTTTAATTGAAGCATGATTGTGATCATTCAAGCCGTCTGGAGAAGGCCTTGTGGAGCACACCGAGCTCAGCCATGGACCCCAGCTTCTGCTGCTGTGCTGCTTTGTCCATATTGGATTCAGTTCAAACCATAAGGCTTCTGCCCACAGCCTTTACACTGCCCCAGCATCCTCTGATCCAGGTGAGTCTTTTGCTGGCAATGCCAGGATCCTGTCTGGGATGTGAAGAGAAATGCCAGGATAGGGAATTAAGCATCAGACGCTCTGGAGCTCCATTTCTTCAGAGTCCAAGGTGACCGTGACTCTGCTTCAAGGTTCTCTGTCCTTCACCTCTCAGGAACTGACTCGTTTTTATCTTTTCTAACAGGAACCTAGTACCACCCCTGACTAGTCAACCCCTTTTCTTCCTTCATGCCTAGCCCTTTCCCCAGGGCTCACATGGGCCTGACCTCCTTTCCTTTCTACCCTTTTGTTCTCCCACCTCACCTGATTATATAAAAGCTGGAAGAGAGCACCTGGCCTCAGTTGTGCCCAGCCATCATAGAAAATCTGGGGACTAGAAAATCATCACTCTGGTGCCTTGGCGGTAGTGCCGTGAGCCCTGTCCCTGCAAAGCTAGGCCACGGCATAAGTGTCGGCCCACCACTTGCATCTCCCACTTGTCTTCTCCCTGAAAAGTGGTTTTTCACATGAGAAAATCTGGTCTGTGAATACGGCATTCTGCCTTGGCTCCCTTGGACTTTGTTTCCTCTCTACTCTGGCACCTTCTCCTAATGAGAAGTGAAGTCATTGCAGGGAAGTCTGAGAGGCAGGGAGGGCAGCTTGTTGAGAGCTGGGCTAGGGGGTGGAAGCAGGGAGGAAGACGCAGATGGTGAAGTAGAGTATCTGAGGATACGCCAGTGTTAGGGCAAAGACCATCCGCCCACTACGCTCCTGAGAATGGTGGTGAATTGGGTTATTTCTGATGGTTAGATTTAGGGGAGACACATTTGCTTTCTTAGAAACTAACAGGAGAAAATGAAAAAGGTTTAAAGGGATGAGGTACTTCCAACCCATGATGAGAATCATGGAATTTTATTTAGAGTGGCAAGGCTCAGGGGTCACTTGATCCAGTTTTCCAGTTGTGTCAGGTAGCTGTCAAGTGGCTGTGCATACTCAGCGGTTAGGCAACCCTAATAACCAGAGTTTCTCCTAATAAGAACCAAACTTGGCCTGTGAATTCTCCATGTAGGCCACATCTACCCTTTGTAGCTCTTAACGTGACAGCCCTCCTGGTACATGTGGCTGGTGCTCTCCCCTTAATCTTACGTGGAGCTCATGTCTTCCACAGTCCTCACACGGCGTGCTTTCCATGCCCGCCACACTGTCACTTCCTCGCCACCCTGCTGTAGACACAAACAGCACTTTTAAAATACTATGCCTGGGCCTTGAAGAGGTCTCCATGACTCCAATGCACAATTAAACCATTAGTTTTCAATGATGACCCAATATAAATGTGGATTTTTTTTTTTGAAGGAGTGGTATTCCTTGGTTCATTTTGAGGGTGCAGGTCATGTAAGGCCCTGTCATTTTGGGTAAATAATGACAGTACAGAGAATAGTCCATCCCCTTAACACTGCCTACCTCTGTTAGTTTATTTCCTGAAAACAGCAGGGTCATTCTCCATAACTCTGAAACATCCAGGGCTCTGTAAAGAGGTGTCATTCAGGATCCCAGTTCCAGAGTAGGAAGTGTGTCTCATCTGACAGAAACGCGGCTTTAGACCATCCAGATTCTCTCTTCCATTTCTACCCATTTTTCCGGACCTTGGGACTTTATATTATCACAGGGGCACTGTAAGCTCAGTTCTCAGGGTATGCAGAATTAGGGGGAGAAGTTCTGTGTCTTCCACTATAAGCATTCCTTTCATGCTATGTAAAGTCAAAAGGGTATTGGCTAAGTGATTCTTTTGGCATATCTTGGGTATTGGTAAAGAGGAAGTTACTGTCTCTTTCACGAGAAAAGAAAATTGGATAATGAGGAAAACATTTTGAGCCTCTCCCATTCTGTAGACCAGGTAAAGGAGTTACAGAGTCCCTCAGATCCCTTTGTGCCTTTCAAAGTGCAGGTTTTCAAAACTCTCAGATCGGCCTGCCACCCCTGCCGGCGTGTACAGACCTTTCTTGTTAAAGATGCTTCTTGTCAGGAAGTTTTCCTTGTGACAAGAAAATGACAAGCTTTTCAATGTCAGGAATACTGGATTCTATGGCCAAGAACTCAAAGTGTTAAGTATCTTAGGTAATTTCAGTCACTTTCTCTTATGCCATTAATTTTATTAGATAACATTCTGAATTCTGGTCTCTTCAAACTAAACACCATTTCTTTACAACTGTGTTGCCTGGAAGCTCCGCGTGGTAGTGGTTAGAAGCCTCCAGTGGTCAGCTCTTTCTCCAGCACCTACACCCCAATCTCCTGTTCTTGCACTGCTCGGTCTCCACAGTGGCCCCTGACTTCCTGTCCTCCACTGCTGGATTAGGTGCTCATAACACCCTGCAGTTCAAGCTGGGATAACTGCAGGCTGGCCAGCAGTGTGGGCTTGGCTCTGTCGCTTCAGAGCCTTCACAGAAGTATCAGAATAGAGAAGACTGTGCTCACAGCTTCACTCCCTGTTCCCATTGCCATACCTTTGGGAGCAATGCTTGGCCATTCCTGAGATTCTCTGGCTGGGGTTTGCCTTTCAGGGGCTGCCAATCCTTCCACATAGCTCCAGGGAAGGATGATCCAGCCCCATCCCTGACCCTAGGGTGAAGGTTAGGCACAGCGTGGGGGATATGGGGGCCAGCACAGAACCTGGAGCACAGGCGTGCCTTAGCCTGTGGGTTCACTCGGGTCTCTGGGCAGGTCACCAGCATGTTTCCTAGAGCCGCCCTGTCTCCATCCAGCTGTGGGATTTGCCCTGGTTTCTCGCCCACCCCCACCCATGGAGACCGAAATACATTTGTTGCTGAGGTCACAGGTGGGTTTCATATCTGTTTGGAAGATCCCATTCTCCCCGTCCCAAACCAAACATGTGCTTATTGAAGTTTACTCAGAAAGCAAGGAGGCTAAAATGCCACTTCCTAGCCTGTGGGTCCCACCAAAGTATGTGTACTGCTGGCTGCTTCTCCACCAGCAATATTTAATTAATCCACAGATGAGGGAAGAACAAACTCTCACATCCATGCACTTTGATAGCTCTTTAAATTTCTGTCCCCTCAAAGCCTGCCCAAGCCACAGGCACTGTCTCCTCCAGAGGAACCCGTGGTCTGACGGTGTGGGGACTGGTTAGCATGCGGCCTGACGGAGCGTGGACCACGCACAGTGTCAAAGCTGCTCTGCTTGCAGTTGGCTTTTTACCTTAAGCAGGAGAGCATAAGGTAAGGATGGAGCAGCTAGGGAAGAGGGAAGTTGTGTTCCACCTCACCATGTGAGCCACTGGGCCCACTGGAGCTGTGGGAGCCACCACCGGGGGTGGTGGAACCCCAACATCTATGCCCACACTGCACTTACTTCAGCTCAGTTCTCAATCAGAGGTACTCCCTGCCCCAGTGCAGACCCCACTGTACCTACAGATCTGTCACCATTCTGGTTGTTAAGGCAGGCTTAGACCCCCTCAGGCCCAACAAGTGCAGCAGCCCTGAGGACAGAGTAAGGCACTGAGAGAGAAGCCAGGGAGGGGCCAGCTCTTCCATCAGCCATGTGACCTCGGGCAAGGTGATCTTAATCCCTTCTGGCTTGAAAATCTGTGATTTATTCATTCTTCGGAAGATCAGAACATTTCTTAAAGTTGAAATGATTGAAGCACAGAAATTTCTTTTAACTTGAAAAGTTCAAGAGCAAAAATTGTTTTCTTCCAGATTCAAACTGTGTAACATCAGCATGTCAAGGTTGACCTCTCATCCTTGTTGGAAAGTGAGTTTGATATTGAGGATAATTGAATGGTTTTTGCAATTGCTTTCCCTCCTAATGGTGTGGTAAGAATATTAAAACCTGCAGAGGTGGAAATTGGAGCTTGCGGGGAAAGGGATAGAAAGCAATTTGTTGCCGGCAGCCTTTGAACAAATTGTTTCAGTAGGAAAGAGAGCTGCTGCTTCATAGGTTTCCTCCGCCACCTTTCCTCAGCCTTCTCAGACCAGGACTGCTCTGGCTCTTAACACCCAGACAGCAGGCTGCGTGCACTTCTGCTTACCGCCCGCTGGTTCCTAGCCTCGAACTGTGCCTTGCAACAGCAAGAGAATTTTCCTGAGTAAAAACGTCAGCCTTTAGTTCCATGGAGCTGCTGCTCTGGATTCTGAGCTATCAGAAGTAGGAGGCTGTGCTGCTGTTCAAGGCAGTCTTCTTTATAGCAGGTCCACAGGGGAGATAGCCAAAGCGGTGGCCACTTACAAGCCACAGTCAGTGATTGGCAGCTCCGCCCTCGCAAGCTGCGGTCTGCGTGAGAGCGCAGTGAAAGGGCGGGTCCTGGGCTGGGCCAGCCGCGTTCTGTGCTGCGTCAAAGGCAGCCGTCCCAGGCCTCGGAAGTGGAGCAGGGTGGAGGCTGGAAGTGCTGGCAGGAAAAGGCAAAGCTCGTGCAAATGAGTTCTGTCTCACTAGTGACTGCACCCCTCAGAGATTTTAATCAGCTTCCCTAATGGGTATTGACACCTCAGGAGCCAGAGCCTGTCAGGGACAGCTGTTGATCTCTGGTGTTCTGATTATATCAACTTCACTACAGCCCAGGGACTGCCACTGCCACTGTCACAGCTACTAAGGAATGCGGTGGTCTCAGAGCTGGGGCAACGCGGGCAGAGGACTGGCTAGCCAGCAGCTGAGTGTGAGAAGAGATCATTCCATTGTCCTTGTCAGGTTGGAGTGGGGCGTGGCCTGAACCAACCTGGGGTCTGGAGGCCCTGCCTGCCTGGGAAGAGTCCGTAAGGGTGGGGATGCGGTTCTGGCCTAAACGAGCTGAGGCCCGAGGCTCGCTCTTCCAATCTGTGCGTCCACGTGCGCGGTGCTGGCCTCGGGCTTGCGGGTGAGGCAGGCCGCCATACTCGTGGGCAGAAAGGAGGACTCGGAAGCTCATTTTATCTAAGTGTAGTATTCTATTAATTCCTATCTTTTGCTCTTCTCCCTGCCTTCCAATCCTCCAAAAAGATTTCTGTGCTGTTCTCCTATTCATCTGCTTATCATTTCAGACTATGAATCTGCCAGAGTGATGTTATTTCTCCTCCAAATTTTCCCCTCATGCTTCCAGTAAAATTATACTTGGGTGGCCCTTAAGGTGACATCAGGATGCTTTTATAACCTTCCAAAATAAGCACACTGCTTTCTTTCCCTCTCATCTCCTTCCACATTCTTTACTTCTTGCTTCTCACTTGGACCCTATGGTGCTTTACAGAAAGTTTTCCGTGAATCAGCCAAGACTCCAGGAGGAGTTTGTACTCCAACAGCCACCCCCACCTCTATCCCCAACCCTTCCAGTTTGAAGTTTGAAGCTCCCTGGCTGTGCCAGTGCCCCTGAGACGAGGGGTGACTGACTTGTGGGCCTTGTAGGCTTGAGGTCACTGAGACCATGGGTAGCTGTGTCTGGCTTATGCCGTCTTTATCCTGAGAGATATAACTGGTTCCAGCCTAGGGCAGCAGTGTCTCTTCTCAGCACAAGCTGGATTGGTGCGTGGGTGCATCTGTGATGGCAACTCAGCGCATTCCTGCCTGGCAGGAGCCGTCAGAAGAGGCACACAACTTCGGGGAGCCTCCAGAGAGGCTCTGCTGTGCTCCCAAGACCAGAGCTGGGTGTCAGAGTACAGATCTCGAACAAGGACACAAGGGCCGGCACCAGCTGGACCCACACTGCGTTCTTAGCCCTTGCTGTTCTCCCACTCTCCTGAGACCTCGAACAGATTCCAGCTTGTCCTCGGATACAGAGAGGCCAAGTAAAGAGTCTGGGGGTAAGATGACACCAGGAGGCAGGACAAAAGGGTTCTGGAGGACGCAGCCATCTCATCCGCATCGCTGGAACCCTTAAAAGGCTGGGTTGCCGCCTGGCTGGTACTTCGAGGAGGCCCAGAATTTCCCAGGAGAGAGAAGGTACAGGTTTTGCCCTTGCGTCTCCTGGGAGAAGATAGAGCCTATGCTTAGACTCAGGCTTTGGCTTTCTGGTTTTCCTCCCATTGTTCTTTTTCTTTTCTCCTCCCTTCATTCTTGCCTCTGCCCTGACCTTGATCAAACAGAGGTGAAAACCTCATCAGAGAACCACCCTGGTGTCTCCTCACCTGTCCCATTTTAATGGTAGCTTTCTGTCTCTATCTACCCTTCTCTTCTCACTTTATTCCCAGCACAGTTGAAGCACCAGATGTAACTTTCAGCAGAGTTGTATGGATTTAACCAGTCCATTGTAAATATACCTGGAGTATTGAGGGGGGGAAGCCAGCTCGCTTTGTGAACTGAATGTATTTTTATGCAATTTTGAGTGGCCTTTCAACCCTGAGATGGATGATTTTGTTTTACTGGTAGTTATTAAGTATTCTGTGTTTGAAAGTTTGGGAAAAATATTCACATCTATACGATGCCTGTAAACAGTATTTATAAATGAGTAAAACTGTGTTTTAACTTTGTGCAGTGAGCTCTCTCGAGGACCCCTGTTGGGGCCTCACCCTGCAGCCTCCGGCTGTGTCAGCACTGCCCTTCTACTGAACCATTTTGCTGCCTTTGGTTAGCTGCCATCCTGAGGGCCAGTCGCTGGGAGCACCACGAATTTCCTAAGTGGACCAGGTCAAGGCAAAGCCTGCAGGGAACCATTAAGAAATCAGGGTTTCAAGCCACTGAGATAGGGCTGGCTGGCTGTGGGCAGAGAGCAGGACTCCTGGGCCTGTCTCCTGGCACTAGCAGGCATTCCAGAACCACTCCCTAAGTCCAGGCTCCAAATGCAACTAACTGAGGGTCCCTGGAGGTTACTGCCAAACTCCAAATGAGGAGCCCAGCCCAGGTAGGAGCTGCAGGGCTGGCAGGGAGGGGTAGGGGCAGCCAGATCTGAGCTCAGGCAGCAAGCCCTGCTGTGTGCCACCAAACGGAAATCCCTGCTCACTGACTTGGAAGCGGTCGGGGAAGAAAGATTCTTTCCCTGCTGTCACCCAGCTGTTTGTGGTCCAAGCAGCACCAGCACACTCACATGATGTCATGGTTGAAGAGTTCAGCACTGTCCTGGGGCCTGAGGGGAGCTGCTGCAGACTAAGCAGTATGTCTGCCACCAGGGCTCCTTGACTGCGAATGTCGTGTCCCCCACTGGACATGGGGAGGTCTGCACAGACACACACTCTGCTCTGCAGCAGTGACAGTCTGTGGGGGAGGGGATGGCACGCACGGCCTCCCTGCAGCAGAGGAGCCCACATTCGCAGCCAGGAGACCCTTCCAGACCCGTGCCCGGAGTCCCACGCCCTTCACACCCCCACCCCCACCCCCAGCACTGCCTGAGGGACTGAAGCAGCAAGATGGGACACTTGTTCACTGGCTCAGGTGGGCCTGTCCCGGCCGTCCCCCTGCCATCCCCCTGCCCCGCGTGCACTGGGCCTGACAGGGAAGCACAAGTCTAGCTGTGGTGGTGCCGGAAGACAACTGTCGCGGGTGGAAACTGACAGAATGGCAGGGGCCTGTCTTCCAAGTGAGGGGACAGGCCGGGGTGGGAAGTGGACAAGGACTGCAGTCCTTTCCTGGTCTTGGGGTAACACTGCCTCACCCTCTTCCCAAACTTTCCCAAACCCTGTCCTTCATCCCTCATGTCTGCCTCATGAGTCCAGGACATTTGGAGTTCTTTGCAATGGAACAATCTAACTTTATAGGGTTCTCACTTTCCAAACTCCCCTACTGTGGTCGTCCCCAAGCCCAGCTCTGTGGAGGGAAGGCAAGGCTGTGGGCCACCCCACCTCCCCAAGGCTCATCCTCAACACCACGCTTCCCTGGGACAGCGGCAGCCACTGCCACGTGGCCTCGTTGTGGGGTGCTGTGTCCCACCACCCACCAGAGCTCCCATCTGGTATTCCTTCCCTGAGGGGGTGCTGGGCCATAGGCCAGGGCCTCAGAAACAGCTCACCACCCTAGTGTACCGTGCTGACCGACCCCCACCCTCACCATGGCCCAGGAAAAACTGGAGACACCCCCCACCCCCAGATTTCTTTCAGCTCATTTCTTTAATAAGGAGACGCAGCTCATTACAAAATAACAATTTGACAAGAGATCAGACAAGAACAACAGAGTCCACATAAGGGGGTGGGGAGCATTGCCAAGCAGGGGGAAGAGGGAGGCCAGGGCTCATCGAGTGTCCTCATGTAGACAGGGAGAGGTCCTGGTGGGGTGACACATTCCCTAGGTGACCCAGATCAGCCTAGGCTATGCTTCGCCCCTAGTTTTGAAGTTTTCTAGCCCCTAGGTTTTCAGAAAGCAGCAGAGTCCTTGGGTGAGCAGGAATCGGGGCAGAGTGGCCAGGCTTCTCTGAGGAACCCCTAAGCCCTGATCGCTTGCTGAGGAGGAGAAACCAGTCCCCCACATTCTGCCCCGCCACCTGACCAGACTCTTCCTCAGCTCTTGCCTCGATTCTTTCTGGAGAACGGGAGGCCCTGCAGTGGGAGCTGATCCCAGCCGCTCTGAATGGTCCCCTCCACTTTCTCCACTCTGACGCAGCACAAGGGGGACATGAGGTTCCTCAGACTGTGTGTGCCCAAGCATGGTGGTTTGTAAATGGCAGAGTCCACCTTGCTGCCTCTGGCTTGTCTAATACACCCACCCTCCTCCTCAACTTCTCTCTGCTGGAGCCTCCTGGGGGCCATGAGGAGCCTAGGCTGCCGGGTAGGGACTGCAGCGCACCATGCTGCCAGAGACCTCGGAAGGCCCCAGTCCCCTCTGCTCACCTCTCCACTGCTTGGCACACCAGGCTGGGACTGCCCTGGGAGATGTGAGAGTCAGAGCCTGGTGTACACCTGCCCGCCACTCAGGGTGGCCCACCCTGCTCTGGGGCGTGCTCCGTCAGACCCAGGGTGCAGTGTGGGGGAAGAGCCTAACCCACCGTGTTCCCCAAGGTTTTCCCCACGAGTTCCTCCTCCATTACCATCCGTGGGCCTTGACACCCACAGTGAGTAAATGCTAAAGTAAGGAGGGCTGGTTCTGTCAACCCCAGGGGTAAATGGGAAGCTGACCACAGACTAAGCCACTGACTAGCTGCTCCTGAAAACCCTGGTCACCTCTACAGAGCCCCCAAGTATTGTCCAAAACTGGCATCCCCACCACTCCCTGTCCACACCCAGGGTGGAGATGGAGTTGAATCATCAGACTTAGGCCAAGAAAGCCAGCCAGGGTCATCTCCTGACACCCTACCAGAAGCCCTGGACACCATCTGTCCTCATGGCACCGTGCTAAGGGAGCAAAAGAGGGTGACACCAGGTGAGCCCTTCACAGGTGTTCTGTGGGGAGCCAGTCGGAGGGACGTGGGTGCTCCTGGGAGGAGCCAAGGGCAGTCTCCAGCAGGAGGCCCCCTTTATGGCTTTTCAGTTAATTCAGACAGTGGGAAGAAGGGAGCCACACCACACATACACAGGACACAGGAGCAACAGGACAGACAGCAGACTGGACACAGTGCGCGGTGCCCCTGCACACCCATGTGCGACAGATGGCCCTCCAGGGACACAGTGTCCTCCTCTCGCATCTCCCAACAGAACTGGCCTCTGGGCCAGAAACTCTTCTGTCCCCTGATGGCTCCCATTGCAAGATTCCCAGTGAGGGGAAGCAGAGGTCAGACTGGAGACAAAGACGCCACACAACATAAATTGAAGAAACAGGCTCAACCAGTTCTGTAAAATGGGTTTGGGGTTGCAAAATCAAGGGAACTCCCAGCATTGCCATGCGGCTATTTACAGAAAGTTATAGACATGCATCTTGATTAAACAAGATTTCTGTTCATATGTGTATAGATAACTATCTTTTATATATAACTAAACGCTCATGGAAGGGGTCAGGTGAGGCTTAAATGGCTTCAGAAGGTTCTTGTTTTGTTGTCACTTAAAAAATAAAAGTATATTCATGTATCTTCAAGTCACAGTGTCCCCTTCTCAGTACTGCAGTTTGAAAACAGGTTAAGTCAAATCCATGGTGACCAGTCGCTGGCCCCCCTGGCCAAGAGGGACTGGGGAGCCGTGGTCAGAGGGTAGGGTTGCCAGACACAATGCAGATGGCCACTTACATTTGAATTTCAGATAAACGAATCATTTTTTAGTACACTATGTCTCAAATATTGCCTAGGACATACTTACTTAAAAGTAGTTGTTTATCCGAAATTCAGATTTAACTGAGCATCTTCCATTTTTATTTGCCAAATCTGGCAATCACATCATAGGGCTCTGGACCACCAGGATCAGGATTTGGGACTCCTCCCCAGCTGCCACCACCTGTGGCTCTGAAAGAGGGCCCAACCATCCTGAGGTGGGAAGGAAGGAGACAGAACAGAGAAGGGGTAGAGCAGAGGATGTGAGGGCATCTCCTGGCTCAATCTTCTACCTTTGAGAGGGAGGGAGACCAGCAAGGACAGGCTCTGTTAAGGTCGGCTAAGACCCAGGACATGGAAGCCTCAAGAATTAGCCTAGAACATTAAAGAAGGAACCTCTCCCACCCCAGCCCAGAAGAGGGTGCTCCCACTGCTATCACCCATCTCCTGCATGGGGACAGGTTTACAAAAGAGCTAGTTTTACCTGCAGGAGACCTGCAGCGACCCTTCTCTCTCACTGAAGCCTTGGGCCACCAAAATCATCCAACACTGCTTCTTCAGAGACACGCTACATATGGGAAGAGAAAAGTCCAGGATCTGAGACTGTGGCCTAGTCCTCCACTGTCCCATCCTCCAGCCAGGAGGCTCCAGGAAAGTTGTTTCTCATCATGCCAAATACCTCCGCACTCTCTGGGACTGCCCAGCCTTCCCCGGACTTAGGCTTCTGTTTCCAAAATCTAAAAATCTGCCCACAGCTCTGGCAGTTAACATCCTTTCTGGAATGATTATCCAGGGAGAAAACAAAACTTTTAGGCCTCACTTGCAGTTTCTGGGTGGGGTTAGGTTTGGGTTTTCATGGTCTCAGCCCCTCTGTAAAAAATCTTCTCTCTACTAAGTACTTTCCTCTCTCTGGAACAGACTTAGGGATGAAAACTCACAGCCCAGAGGCATCCAGACACCCCAGTTCTTTCCTAATTAGCGCTGACACCCAGGGCCCTAACATGGCACAAGTAAACCTGTAAACCTGCACAGCAGTGAGGGTTTGGAATGACGCTCTGTGATTTGGATTACGTCAGCCCTCAGGTGTAGTAACCTTACAAGCATCACCATGTTCCCCGCAGCCTGTGGAGCCAGACAGATGCCATCTGCTCAGAACCAACCAGGACTTGGGGAAGGAACTGCTCCTAGCACCCAGATAGCGCCACACTGGTGCCAAGTAACCTGTCCCTGCCCCCTTAGGCTGCCTGCTAGAGGTGGGCTCGGAGTGACAAAACCAAGCTCCTGTCTCCAGGCAAGGGACACTCAAACCACCAGAGGTGCCTACCATTTCCTTCCCTTCTCTAGCAAGAGAGTGGCAGGTCCTGGGCTTCAGAAGGAGTGAATGAGGTTCATGGGCAAAGAAGAATCCCTGGTGGTAGAACGTGAATTGTAAAAGGGTAAAATAATAAAGGGAGATTGACAGGAAGTTTCCATGAATGAGGTTTGTGAAAGGTGGGTGAGGGGGACCCTGAGAGAGCACCAAAATCCACAGCCCTGGGGATGAGAGAAGAGTCCAGTGACATCCGATGTCCATGCTTGGATTGTTGGCGTTCCACTGCCACCCAGATTCTGAAGGCACTCTGTTGTCCTACAAGTGTCTACCATGACCACAACTCTGGTCCCAAGGACCAGAGCTTGTATCTGTATTGCAGTCCTGCCTTCCTAGTAGGCATGTACACATGGGGTGTATAAAATACATGACTTCTCATGTAGCACTAGCAGGAAGAAGGATCAGTCTCTGAGAGGCCAGCCAAGACCTGCTTTCCAGTCTCTTTCTGGTGGAAGTGTTCCCTCGCTCTTACTTCAACAACAACAACAACAAAAGCAAAGCAAAACCAAATTCCCTCACTTCTTTAATAAAATTAAGACACTCTCTGGGACCTCAAAGCCTGATTCTCTCCACCTCAAAGCCTGATTCTCTCCAACACCATCATTCTATCTTAGGTGCCTACAGGAAGGTAAAGTGGTCCAGATTGGGAAGGACAGGAAATGCTGCCATTTTTGCTGAGAATGTGATTCCCAGGCTTCTTGGGAAGCTGTGAGTTTTCTGTGGTAAGGAAATGGCAAGGATCTGAGGGCTTCAGAGACAGCAGAAGCCAAGGGAAGGGAGACAAAGAGGGTTGGCTTCTGGCCATTATGGGGACATGTCTCTCTTGTCTGGGCTAAAGGTTTGAAAGGGGACTCAGTGCAAACTTGACTAACATATATATGGCTTTTTAAAAATCAGTGCTGGGGACAAGAGGTGAATGGGGGAATGGGATAACAGGACATGGGGTAGAAACCCTGGCAGGTTTCCTCCAACACCCATTACAAATGAATGCCTTTCGTCTTAACATTCATAGAGAAGTACTCTAATGAATTTGAGGCTGGGGCCTCCTTGAGCCACTCCAGCTACTCATAAGCCCTCTGGTATGGAGGGCAGAGGGTCCAGAGAGCAAGGAATGGGAGTTGGGGGAATCCCAATGCTCCCATCCCAGAAACTCTCCACCATCAGTCCATCATTCTCCCGTCTTTACCACCCCCTTCTTACCTGGACACCAAGGACATTTAAGCCTTCCTCTTCCAGTTCTCTGGCTCTATACAGATAACATGTCTTCAGACAAGTTGCTCCACTTAAAAGAGAAATTGAAGCAAAAGCATGATGGAGAAAAATGCAAATGAATTGCATTGCTTATATTCTGGAGAGGGAGAGAGTGTTTGTGTTTCCCAATGGATGGGGCAAAGATGCAGGAGTTTTCATTTTGGTCTTTCTGGATAAAGAAGCTTCTGTTTCTTCATAGTTTGATATTCATTGTCAATAAGAGTGAGATCCTGGGACTGACAGTCCCTGTTAGAGTCTGACCAATCTAATGAATACTTCATTTCCACGAATGTCCCAGAAACCCCACTTCTGGAGAAGCCGTGATTGACAGGAGGAAGTCTATGATGGCATCAGGGGTTTGGTCCTAGTTGACACATCCAGTCCCCCCATCCTGCTGCCTCCCAAAGAGCCATCTACAAGGAATGTAGGAGCTTCTGGCATCTGACCACAATTTTGAGCCTTCTCCACAAGCTGATAGGTCTCCACCAACAGTGGACTTTCTTCATTTCAGGGTCCCTGAAGAACTCTTTCTTCCCACACAGCTTCACTGTACAGGCTCATCCCAGGATTGAAGAGAGACACTCAAAGACAGACAGACAGACAGAGACACAGAGACACACACACACACACACACACACACACACACACACCCCAACACCCCAACCCACCCACCATTGGCCACTGTGTTGCCTTTGCTGTCAGGAAACAGGATGTGTCACCATTTTGTTGGTCCAGAATGTGCAAGAAACAGGAAGTGCTGCAACTTCCTGCCAGTAGTGCCTCACTCAGGGTGAAACTTAAGTGAAGCACTGAAAGAGTGAGAGGGAACCATGACAGGGCATGCAGCAAGGGCAGTTCCTAGGATGATGAACAGAGCCAGGCTTCTCTTTCACCTCTTAGGGGACTCTCCTCACACAGTCATCAAAGGGAAAGTTGGTCTTTAAAAAGAGAAGAAAGAAAAACAAGTATACAACTACAAACAAAAAAGCAAAACAAAACCAAAAAACCTCTAAGGTCGCATAACTGAGGTATTGATAGCTCTGGATCTTGTCAGTGTCCGTGAAGGGCGCTGGGTCCCAGCTGCTGCCGCCTACTTGTTCTTCCCCAGAAGTGCATCCACCTCCTCCTCAGGCTTGAGCGAGTGCCACTGGGCAATGGGCCTCCGGGGGTTGGCCAGCATGTCGGACCAGTGCCGCAGCTCTGTGCCTGTGGCATTGCTGCCCACAAAGATCTTGCCGATGGCTTCATTCTTACCCAGCTTGTCATAGTCCAGCACAGTGACCACCACCTGGACTTTCTGCAAGGAAAACAGGAGGGAGGGAGTTGGAAGGTAAAGACACAGGATTCCGTCACCAAATCTCTCCCCTTCAGCAACCTATACTTGAAATGATTGGGAAGGAAAGGCTTCCCAGGACCCCTTGCTTCTATCTCTGGCTCCAGCTAGGACTGAATGTATATAGAGGCAAAGCCACACCCTTTGGGGATGACTTGTGTTTCCACCAACAGGCATTTACGGAGCATGTGCAATGTTAAGCACTGGCTGTGTTAACCACCTGTTAGGAGGCAGTGAAAAGATGAATTTTTAGGGCCGGGGATTTAGCTCAGTGGTTTCACCACCTGCTGCACAAGCGCAAGGACCCGAGTTCGATCCCTGATACCAAAAAAAAAAAAAAAAGATGAATTTTTACCTCTGTGAGACCAGCAGACACACAATCACAAACTTCCAACACAAAGTGATAAAGCTTATGTTAGAGAGATAAGCACAAGGTCCTACAGAAATTCAGAGGAGGTGACAGTCCTGCTTGGTCAGACAGGGCAGGCTTCACACAGGAGGTGACATCTGAGTGGGACACGAAGACTGAGGATTTCTCTCAGAAGAGAAAAGAGGAAAGAAGGTTCTAGGAAAGAAGATGAGCCTGGATAAGGACACAGGCACGTGAGGACTGAGAAACATTACAAGTGCAGAATCGTGGAGCTGTGGAGTGAGAAACAACGAACAGGAAGTAAGGTCAGGTGGGCTGAATCAGATAAGGAATTCGCATTTTATCCTTCAGACAAGCAGTTGGGAGATTTTTTTAAGAGGAGTGGCATGGATAATTTGGAAAGAAAACCATGTCACTGAGGTAGAAGATTGGGCAGGCCTAAGGGCACCAGGGAGACCAGTCGCTGGGGGTCCTGGAAGGATGGAGACTGAGTACTTAAACCAAGGTGGTGGGTTTGGGAAGTCAGGGCCAGAGTGGAGAGGCATTGAGAGGAATCAAGACTTGGCAATCAGTTGAGTTTGTTGAAGCAACAGTCAGTGCCTTTCTCCTCTCAACCCCAGCCAACTCAGACTCATCCTTGAGGACAAAACTTTCTCTGGGAAGCCATCCCTAAACTGTTCACAGTCCTCTTCCTTATACTCAGTGAAGCTGTCATCTCACCAGCCATGTTGCTTGTCCCCTCTCACCGGGACGATCTTCACAGCCAGGCGTGCATCTTCTACATATTTGTGTTCCCAGCTCCTGGAAAGTGCGTGGCACTTAGGAAATGCTCAGCAAAGTATGTTGGATAAATGAGAAAGGAAAAGGGATTGGGGTCTAAGATGATGCTCAGATGTCTGACTTGGGCTACTGGGTAGACGGTGGAGCCATTCACTAAAAACAGAATTCAGATGAAGCAGGTTTGGCTGTGAAGAGAGAGAGATTTAGACCCTGGGTTTAGACACGTTGGATTTGAGATGTTTGGGCAGTATACTTGGTATCTGTCTTAAGTTCTCCATCAGAAAGACTTCTCCTGGACTCCCATTCCTGCTGAGCTGCCCATTGTTCCCTTGAAGAATTCCATATGTGACATCACAGACACCTCCAACTCCAAGTACTCCCTTGGCTCTCTCGCCCCTCAGCCCTCCTGGAGGGGAGAAGTGTGTGGATCAGCTCACTACAAAGAAGGAGAGTCTGGGACTCCACAAGGACCAATCATGCTGCAAGGCCCTGGCTGCATCTCACTGCAGTCCCAGAGGCCAAGGGCCTCTTGTCCTTCCGTATACCAGCCATACGCAAAGTGGAGAAAAACAGACCTCATTTCTGACATTCACAGAATTTGCTGGATGGAGGGAAAGAAGGGATGGAAGAAGAGCAGAGAAGGCTGGAAGGTCAGCATGGGGGAAAAGAAGGGAGGAAAGGCATAGATGGGAGCAGTGCTAGGGAGCCCAGAGACGGGGCGGGGGGGTATGGCCATGGCCAGCTGTGGCCAGAGAAGGGTGGAGGAGGCGGTGGCTTTTCCTCTCCAGTCACTCCCAACCGTGGGCTGGTGCACAAACACCCATGTGCACAGCCATGTTCCTTGAAGTCCTTAAGGACTGATAGGTAGAAGTTTCTGGAATTAGTTCACATTCATCTCGTCAGAAAAGGGGGACCCTCCAGGAGACGCCTCGGGCAGGAGGCCCCCACAGCATCATCACCCGAGCCTTCCCCAACACGTGAAGCTGTTCTTTGCATGTCCTGCTGAGTTTCCTGCCCTCGACGCCCTGGCACTCACTCATTTGTCCCAACCCCAGCTCCGTGCCTAAGACCCGGAGGGCTTGAGCACCTGAATCTGCTCGAAGGGGATCTCGAAGCTGAAGGACTCGTTGAAGTAGGGGTTCAGGGTCTTCTTTTTCACTGTCGTCTTCTTCTTCTTAAGCCTCTTACCATTCTGCATGAGGTGGATCTTCACATAGGGGTCTGTGGAGAGAGTCCCAACCCCAGAGGCTCCTTAGCTCTCACCTCGCTCTGAGTGACAGGGTCTCCACCTGCTGAGACCAGGCCCTCAGAAAGCCCAAGACACCAGACAGGAAGTCCTAATGGTATAAAAGAATCATCCAGTTCAAGGTGGGAAAATGTTTCACCTCAAGGACAAACTCCGACCTGTTGGTTGTGGTTCCCAGGAGGATCAAGCTGGGACACTTCCTGAGTCTAGGCGAGGCCTTGTGAAGGAGAGTGGGGTCTGAGTGGCGATACCTGTGCCAGGCAGGGGACAGAGGAATGCTAAAGGCTGGCACACCTCTGCCACATCCTCGCCCTGGCCCAGCAGAACCCTCCCTGCAGATGAGAAACTGAAGCTCAACAAGGGAAATGACTGCGCAAGGTCACACCCTGCATCAGTCACACAGCCGGAGCCCATTTACAGGGCTAGTTCTCTGGGAAAGCACTGTAGAGGCAGAAGGGTCACCAGCACCCTGTGCCGTGCACCACCAGGTAAATCTGAAACTTGGAGCACCCCACACACATGGAGTCCCTTTTCAGGGCACAGCCAGCAGAGCCTACAGCGTCTCCTGGACAAGTGTCCCTGACTGTGGTGGCAGAGAGGCACCCTTTGAGCTAAGCCCTGCCCACTTCCTACACTTGCTTGAGAGAAGTAAAATCCTAAGACACTGGCCCATTTGGGTGAAGTTTCACAGATCTTTCCTTCACGGGTCACAGCACAAGGCCAGCGGGTACTGGGATAGTAACTCAGATTGGGGGCAAGGGCCCTTTGGAGAAAGGGGGAGTGGGAACCCAGAGCTCCCTGCTCTGAAGGGAGACACCCAGTTCCCAGAGTGGGGACATTTTCCTCCTCAACGGGGCAGGCAAACGCCAGGGGTTCTGAGCAGTGACTGGCTCGCTGGTGCCACCCAATGGCAGCCACAAGCACTGCGTTACCTGAAAGACCACCCACATCCATCTTCTTGAGGTTCTTGGCCTCCAGGATGCAGACAGTGAGCTTCCCGGCTGTGGGCACATAGCGCAGGGAGGTGCAGATGTCACCCAGCTTCTCCGGCTGTCCGGGGAAAAGTGGGACCAGGTCATCGCAGCTATCCACTGCCTCTAGTGTGACCCGCCCTGTCTTGCCAGTCTGGTTTGCGGCCACCAACCCCTTCCCCGCCTGATCTGGGAGCCTCTTGCTGCAGTTCCCAGCCACGACCCAACGGGGCTCGACATGTGGGTATGTTCAGACCATCCCAGGCGAGGTGGGCAGGGCACGAACAGGGGGAAGCCAAGCGTCCGTTCCCAAGAGCCCAGGAGACCGAGAATGTCGGAAGCCTCCTGCCCCTGCCATCTCTCCCCAGCCCACTGGTGAGACTGACCACATCACACCTACTTCTGGGCCACCGCCCTTCCTCCTGGACACAGCGTGAGCCCCAGGGTCCAGAAGGATGTCCTGTGCATCCCTCTTATCCCTACACCACTGCCTGGTACCATGCTAGCACCAGGGACTTGTCCCGGACAAATGACCAATGCCTAGAAGGAAGAGTGGCCAAGGTGAAGTTTCAGATACACAGCAGGTGTTCAGTAAATATCTGATGAGCAAATGCAACCTGTAACAATCGCTAGGACAAGCGCTCATGCTGAGAATCCTTTCGAACAAATGTGAACGTGCACGTGGGCAAACTGAGGCACAGAGTCAGGAATCGGTGGTCCTAGATGATAGCAGAACCTTATGGGTAACAGCGTTAACGGTTCTTATCTATGTGATTGCCTACCAAACACCAGGCTTGTACGTGGACAGTTCATCCTCATCTGTAGAGTCTAAAAAGGAAGCCCAGAGCCAGAGACTTCAAGCCACTTGCCCAGAGTCAAGAGCTCAGCGGCATGGGGCTGGAACCCTAACCTGGGAGCCTGACCCTACAGCCCACCCTCTCCGCCAGGCCAGGCAGCGGGAGTCGGGCAAGCAGCAGCGCTGCTCCTCCTGCTGGCTCAGGGCTCGCTGTGCTCTCACCTCCTCCTTCTCCCCGCCTTGCAGGTCTCTCCACTCCTCGATGGGCTGGCCGAGGTCCACAGTGTTCATGGGGACCTTTACCTCCCCAATGATGTCGTGTTTGGAGAAGCGGTCAAAGTCGTAGATGGCCATCACCAGGGTTTTGCCCCCCAACTCCTGGTAGGGCACCTGCAGGGCACAAAGGGATCAGAAGGGGTAGGAATGACCCGTGCACCTCCAGGGAATCCAGTGCACAAGTTGCTGGCCCAGGCCGACCCACAGGGCTCCCAAGATTCCATAGAGAAAAGAAAGACCCAGCAGGGCTTCTGGGCGCAGAGAGTAAGGACCGGATGGGAGGGGTCCCCATCCGCCACAGAGGTCAGCATGAGCTTCCAGGTGGCCGCATGCAGCCCACCACTGGTCCAGCTGAGCTGGTCCCGTGGCCCCGCCATGGCCCAGGACTAAGGAAAGATCTGAAGAAATCAAGCACGGGGAGGGAGCTGGCAGCACCCTTGCAGACTCATCACCTTGAAGGTGAAGGTCTCGTTGAAGGCAGGGTTCAGGGTCTTTCGATGGACTTTGGTCTCGTATTTCTTCTTCTTGTCTGGGAGGAGGAAGACTTTGACGTAAGGGTCCGAGGTGCCCCCCATGTCCAGGGCAGGTAGTTCCGCAGCCTGCAGGACGCCCACGGTGAGCTGGGGAGAGAGGGATGGAGGGCGGGGGCTGAGCTCCGCGCTGCTCAACACCAGCGCTGGCCCGGACCCAGCCCCCTACTCCTCCCCAGAGGTGACAGCTGGAGGCTGGGCTGGGGGCTGACCGGGGCCAGCTGGCCTCCGCCTCCTGCCCCACGGATGTGCAGTGACACCGGGGAGCCTGAAGTTGGATGCTCACTGGTTTGCCCGCGCTTGGTGGGCAGCTTAGCCCAGTGTCAATCTGGCGCCTTCCCCAGAGCAGGCTGGTGGCCATGCCAGTTCAGGGTCCAGACAGATGCACCCTGTGGTTTCCAATCCATGGAAAGCACCAATACCCATGCACGGGCAACTTTTCTACCCCCTCGGCCCAGCTGCACACACCTGGTTAGCCTGGAAGTCGTAGTCCAGGGAGAACTGCAGTTTGCCCAGATTCTCTGGCTCTTTCTCCTCTTCTCCTTCACCTTCTCCCTCAGTCAGGCCCATCTCTGCGTCGTCATCATCCTGACGGAGCTTGGGGGAGGAAGGGAGGAGTGAGATAAAGGGGGAGAACAGGAGCAGCCAGGATCAGCACCTCTCTCCCCCTGTCCAACCCTGACGCAGACCCGGGCTGGGGCAAGGGATACAACGTGGCACAACCAGGGGGCTGCGCTGCCCCACAGCCCGCCAGGACCCCCGTGGCCCAGCAGCCTGCACATGGGAGGCAGGCTGTAGCTCTGGTGTCCTCCTCAGCACTATGAGGCCTGGCACTATGCCACATGCCCCACAGTGTCCCGAGGGAGAGGACTCGCTTTCCCCATAAGATGCCCCCCCAAAACCTGCCCCAACTCAGACCACACCCACCCTGGGCAAGACGTACCAGCAGCCCAGTCCAGGCAGATGGGAGCGAGACATGTCCACGGAGGTAGAAAGAGAAGGAAGAACGTGACGTAAGAAAAACTCCTGCAGCTCGAGCCGGTCCCTGAAGTCACAGCCACTTGGGGGGACCAGGCTGGGCCAGACCCAGGTCACTCTTGGAAGCTCACACACACACTGTAGGCCCCTTCTGGGCCAGGCACACACATGCGTGCACACACACGCACACGCACATCCCCAGGTAAGCACTCAAAGGCCACATGACCCTGGCCAACTTGCGACCTCCCCTCCATCCTCCATTCCGAGGCCGTGAGGTCTTCCAGTCACTCCCCAGACAGACACAGGAGTAGGAAGCACACGGGGCTTCTGTGACCTCAAAAGAAGACTTCGGTATATTAAGGGACCTTTCCAGAACTGGGGGTGACTCAGCAGTAGAGCATTTGCCTAACATGTGCAAGGCCCGGGGTTCAATCCTCAGCATGGCCAGAAAAAAAAAAGAAAAGGATCTTTCTAGTGGGACCGACACCAAAAGACACTTGTCTCTAAGGCTAGAATAAATTGAATTTTTCTGTGGTTAACAATGGATTCAAATGGATTTGACCCGTCTGGGTGCCTCGGGACCTTCCTCCTGCCTTGCCTAGCTCCCCACCCTGGCCTAGCCCTATGCCTCTGAATAGGATCTTATCGTCCCTCAGCCTTTTCTGGGTTCACACAGGGTTCCCCAGTGGTGGCTTCCTGCTGGGGACAGCAGGCTGTCTCTCTAGCATTTTGCTCCAGTGGCCTCCTTGGGGAACATATTGTCCCCTCCCTTGCTTTCCAAGGATGAGGCCAAGCTGACACATGAATAAGCTCCCTTTCCCACTAGGAAACGTGGGCCTTGTGGAGTTTGAAGGAGAAGCCGTGAGGCCATGCAAGCCCAGAAGCCTTTGCATTGCCTTCAGCATCAGAAAAGCTGGGCTGGGTCCCTTCCTGGGCCCCAACACCACCTGCTCCTACCTGACCACCCTTCATGTCCTTCATATTCATGGCGTTCTTCATGCCCTTCCCCTTCTCCTTCTTGTTCTTTTTCTTCTTGCAGCAGCACTTCTTGCAGATGCAGAAGCAGCAGGTGAGGAGCAGCAAGCCAGCGACCACAGCGATGGCAATCAGAGCCCACGGTGGCACTGCCCACACAGAAGGCCCCAGAGTCAGCATGCCGTGCCTCGCAGGCCTGAGCCCAGAGGGTGGCAAAACGGGCGCCCACCGCTGGCACTCAGTCATGAGAGGGCTCACTCAAAACAGAAAGGCTTCTTGATGTTTACTACAAGGGCCAAGGAAGCCTGGGCTTTGCTAGCTCAGGTGGGGGGGGGGGGTGGACCCTGGGCTGCTCTCCGTGGTCCTGAAGCACCAGCTCCCCCCAAACTGCACCTCTGATGTCTCCTACTCAGCCTTTGCCAGCAATTCAAAGAGCAGCAGAAACTTTCTTTTTGTTTTTCTTTTTTTTTTTTTTTGGTACCAGGGATCGAACTCGGGTCCTTGCACTTGAGAGGCAGGCGGTGGAACCACTGAGCTAAATCCCCAGCCCCAAACTTTCATTTTTTATATTCCAAAATAAACTAGTTTCAAAATGTAACCGAAAAGCTGAATAATGATTTCTATTTTATCATTTTTGAATCTTTTGACAGTTTTTTAAGCTTTTTTAACATTTTAAGAAATGTTTTCCCCTTGGAGAGTGGAGCATACACCAACCCCCTAAAGCCCCTCATTGGTTCCAGCCCACACCGACCCCCCAGTTCCTCCAGGGGTTCCCCCAAAGAATCCAAGCTGAGGTGCAAGCTTTAGGCAAGAGCCCTGCCCAGCTGTGCCGCCCACTCCGGTCCTGCCCCCAGGCCACGGCCTCCGGCCCCAGGCCACTCACAGGGGATCTTGTTGATCTCATTGAAGAACTTCTCCTTCAGCTTGGCAAACATGTCCTCCTGACTCTCCCCAGCACCCCCGCTCTCTGTGGAGCTGGAGTTGTCTGCGGGTCCAATCGGCATTGTGGCAGTGGTGGTGGCAGGAGCCACAATGGGCTCCTGGGTCCTCTTGAAGATGTTCCTCATGGTGGCAGCGGGGATGGCTGAGGAGGAGCAGGGAAGAGGGCAGGGTGAACATCCCGGAGGCCCAAATGCAGCAAAGGACAAGGAAAAGCTATTCCAAAAGCTCAAGACAACAATACTCCCTTTACAGTTCAAAGGTGTTTTGCTTAAGGTCAGCAACTGTGGAAACAATGATAGTCACAGTATGACAGTACATATATATTCAAGGGCTGTAAAAAGTGTTTTCCATGTGCAATCTCATGTAATACAAACAACCAAACATTATATGATGTGATATTGTCCCCACTTAACAGACAGGAAACAGGTTCAGAGAGGCAAGGCGAGCAGGCTTTCCCAAGGCCACTTAGCTAGAAGATGGGAAACCGGTTGGAACAAGTCGGCCTGACTCCAAAGCCTGCAGACCACACAGAAAGGCTGGGGAGCGAGTCACAAAAGCAGAGAGCATACAAGAAAGAGCTCATGAGCCCCTTCCTTCTACCGTCCTGAGAACTAAGGTCAGCACTTGGACACTTTATACCAGTTACTTTTTCTGTTTTACATGTGGAGATCATACTATATACAGTATGGGATTCTGCCTTGTTTTAAAACCCAAAATTTTATCTTAAGCCTTTTCCTTTATGATTAAATTTTATTCATGTTTGTTTGTTGAGTCAGGGGCTCACATGTAGCCCAGGCTGGCCTTGAACTCATGGCGATCCTCCTACCTCAGCCTCCCGAGTACTAGGATTACAGGCATGTGCCACCATGCCTGGCTTAAACTTTATTCTTAAAAACCTTGCTGGGGTTTTAGCTCAGTGGTGCTGTGCCTGCCTCGCAAGCACAAGGTCCTGAGTTCAATCCCCGGTACAAAAAAAAACTCAGCTAAATAATATCCCACAAATGGCATTATCATAATTTGTTTATTCTACTATTAACCATTAGACATTTCAGTAGTTTCCAGCTTCTTGCTAGGAAAAATATTACTATGCAGCTAGGGATGTAGCTCAGTGTAGAGTGCTTGCCCACCATGTGTAAGGCCCCAGTGTCAGCACCCCTCAAATACACATCCACATCTGCAAACACATACACACGCACACGCACACGCACGCACACACACTACTACAGTGAACATAACTTTTGGGCTCCATTTAGGGCTATGTTCTTTTGGGCTTCCAAACCCTGCCCCAGACCCAATCTCTTCCTTGCCCTCAGACTATTTCTGCCTCTCAGAGTAGGGGCAGTCCTGTCACTAAAGTCCCATAAGGGCAGGTGCTGGCCTGCACCAGCCTCCCTCCATGCCAGGCACACGGTAGAGCTCAGAGGGCATCTGCTGGGTGCAGTGCTTGGGGGACCTAGCAGTGAACACACAGAGGCACTCTAGATCACAAAAAGATACAACACGTCTCCCGGAGGCATCAGTTTTACTTAGTGACACATGACAGTATTTTTATTATTAAAATAAGCCTGGTTGGGCCGAGGATTTAGCTCACTGGTTCTAGTGCCTGCCGCACAAGTGCAATGTCCCGAGTTCGATCCCCCTGGACCCCTGGCCTTTAAAACAATAACAGCTTTACTGACATCAGTAAATTCATCAGCCATATCATCCTTGTACTTTGCTCTCTTAAAGTGTACAGTTCAGTGGTTTTTAGTATATTACAGTTGTGTGACTATTTCCACAGTCTAATTTTAAATCATTTCCAAAAGGAAATGCTGTACTAATTAGCAGTCTCTCTATCCCTGCCCTCTTCCCAGCCCCAGCAACCACTAATCTAATTTTTTTTTTTTTTGGTACTGGGGATTGAACTCAGGTCCTTGCGCTTGCAAGGCAGGCAGCAGAACCACTGAGCTAAATCCCCAGCCCCAACTAATCTACTGTCTCCAGAGATCTGCCTATGCAAAATATTTCACATGAACTGATTCATAAAATATGCAGTCTTTGGGACTGGCTCCTTTCATTTACTGTGATCTTTTCAAGGTTCATCCATGTTGTACCATGCATCAACTCTCCATTCCTTTCTTACTGTCAAATAATATTCTGTTGTACAAATATAATCCATTTTTTATCTATCTGTTCGTCAGTTTCTGGACATTTGGGTTATTTTCATTTGGGGGCTATTATAACTAATACTACTATGAATAGCCATGTATAAGTTTTAGTGTGGACATACATTTTCATTTCTTTTGGGTAAAGATTTAGGATTGAAATTGCTGAATCGTATGGTAACTATGTTTGATATTTTAAGCAACCACCAAACTATTTTCCCTAGGTGGCTGCATGAATTTTTATTATCAGCAATGCATGAGGCTTCCAAATCCCCTATATTCTAGACAATACTATTTGTTCATACATGCCTTTTGGTTTAAAGCCTTCCTGGTAAGGGAGGAAGTGGTGTTTCACTGTGGGTTTGATTTGCATTTCCCTAATGACTAATGATACTTTTTCTGTGCAATTGTTTTCTTTTGAGAAATTCCTTTGCCAAATTTTTAATTAAATATTTGTCTTTTGATTATTTATCACTACTAGCTCCTTGTCAGATGGTGCGGGTGGAGAGATGAGAGGGAGGTTCCGGTCCGACAGAGCCATCCTCTGTCCACACTGTGGCAGGAGCCAGTGCCCCCACAGGGCTGGGGGGGGTGCCTCGCACCAAGGTACCACGTATTCGCTTCAGTTCTGGAGTTGCGTGAATTATCTTTCTGTTTCTTTTGATGGCATCCTTTGAAACAACAAAAGTTTTACATTTTGATGATGTCCAATTTCTTTTGTTGCTTATCTCTTTAGCAGTGTCTCTAAGAAATAATCACATAACCCATGGTCACCAAAAATGTAGTCTTATGTTTTCTTTTAGGATTTTTATAGTTTTAAACAGTACCTTAAGGTCTACAATTTATTGTGTATGGTGCAAGGGGCTCAAATTCATTATGTGGCTATCCATTTGACACAGTAGCATTTATTGAAAAGAATATTCTTTCCCCTATTGAATTACTTAAGTACCCTTAAAAAATATGAGCTGACCATAAATACGGAGCTTTACTTTTGGACCCTTGAGCCTAAAGCACTGAGTTTTATGTCTATTCTTATACTAGCACCACACATCCTAATGACAAAGGTTGTAGTAAGTTTTAAAATCAGGCAGAGTAAATCTTTCTACTTTACTCTCTTATTCAGATTATTTGGGCCACCCTGGGGCCCTTGCATTTCCATAGGAACTTTAGGATCAACTTGTTTGTGTAAGAAAACTAGCTGGGAGTTTTATAGGGATTGCGTTGAATCTGTAGATCAATTTAGGGATTATTGCTGTCTTAATGATATTGTTCTAAAATATTTTTCCATTTCTTTAGATCTTTAATGTTTTCAACACTGTTTTGTAGTTCTCAGTATACCAATCTTGCATCTCTCTTGTTATATTTATAGATATTTTGTGTTGATACTAAATGGAATTGTTCTCTCTCTCTCCTCTCTCATGGTGCTAGGAATGGAACACCCAGGGCCTCAAGTATGCCAGGAGAGGAGTCCTGCACCACTGAGCCCCAGCCCGGCCTGGACCTGTTCTCTTCCACTTCCTGGTTGTTCATTCCTAGTGTTTAGGGTACAATGTCACATTGCTCATGTATTAGTTCTAATAGCATGTGTGTGTGTGTTCCTTAGGGTTTTATGTATACAGAAGCATGCAATGGACAGGATCTTACAGCTTTCTTTACAATCTGGATACCTTTTCCTCTCTTGTCCTTCCTTAAATGCTGGCTGGCACCTATGATGAACAGGGATGATGACAGTGGGAATTCCTGTTTTGTTCCTGATCTTATGAGGAAATGTTCAGTCCTTGTCTGTTAAGTATAATGTTGGCCGTGGGCTTTTTGTAGATGCTGTCTATCAGACTGAGCCCACGCGGCTATGTGTTCTGGAGTCTACATTGTAACCTCACCCTGAACCCCCAGGACCATGGCAGTCCTGCTCCTCATTCTGCACTCAGCTCCCTACCAACTCCTCAAACAAACCACCCATTCCTCCACCCCCAGCACCTCTGGCTGAATGTGAATCCCTGGGATACCACCCCGTGTTAGAAAACTCCAAACAAATCCCTTTTCATAACTGCATTTCCTCATATAAAAAGTGCTGAAAACACACTACCCATTTTTCAGAACTGTTGAAAATTTAATGCATTTGATCATACACAAATGACATCCACTAAATGTGGGTTGACTCTGAAGTGTTCATCTAGCCCCTTTCAAGATGCCTGGAAATGTGGACCTTCTTAAAAAGCTGATCATCCACAGAAAATGGTCCCTTAACAGAGACCCTGGGATAAAGAGCCAGCTTGGAAGGAGAGGTCACATTCTTCAGGGGCCAGGTCACCTTCAGACCAAGATAAGAAGGGGTGAGCTACGTCACAAGTCCTGAAGCCCCAGGAAAGAGCCTGGCAGGGACCACTGCAGGTTCTGAGCAGAGGAGCTGCCTGATGTAAAAGCAGGTAAGTCAGAGCCAGACCAAAAGTGACGTGGACCTGGGCTAGGGTAAGAACATAGGAGAGGGAGCAGAGAGAACACAACACGTGTGAGAGACATCCATTCATCCATTCATTCCTGAGTCCGTGTTATACTTTGCTCATAGAACTTCCGTAAAATAAATATTAAATAACTGCACATAAATGAATGTAAAGCTGGGGGTTTAGCTCAGTGGTTCTGCCGCCTGGCTCTCAAGTGCAAGGTCCCAATCCCCGGTACCAAAAAAAAAAAAAAGAACAAATGAATGTAAAGTTGTCATTCTGAGAAATCCCCCAAAGGAGAAATACCCAGTGGTGTGAGGGTTTCTACTGGGGGACTGGGATTTGGGGAAGCAAAAGTGTTTTCCTGGGGAAGCAATGATTGAACCAAAACCTGAAGGGAAAGTGGGAAGCATCCAGGTAAAGAGGCAGAGAAAACAGCAAGTGCAAAGGTCCGGAGGTGGAAGAGTGGGCGGAGCACAAAGTTTGAAAGGAGGCAGGGTGACAGGAGGGAGCACGCATAGACCAAGAGGAGGCTGGCAGGATGGGCAGGGCCGGGC